GATTTCCTTTGAAAGTAATCAGGAGTAAGTGTTGAATTTGTGGATTGATGCTTTTGTGCCTGAACCGATGGTGGTTTATGGGGCTCTGAACCGATGGTTGTTTATGGGGCTCGGGCTTTACACCTGTTCCCTGATGTTTTGTTCTTCCTAGGAACCAGCCCCACTCTTTGACCTCGCTATGCTTGCCTTAGACAGTCCTGAGAGTGGCTGGACAGAGGAAGATGGCCCCAAGGAAGGACTTGCTGAATACATTGTTGAGTTTTTGAAGAAGAAGGCAGAGATGCTTGCAGACTACTTCTCTTTGGAAATTGATGAGGTGGGGTGGCTATTCTTGAGGTATTAGGTTCTTACATTCTTCAGATAAGAATTAAAAGTTTCATTCATTACGTGTGATATCCTCACCACTCCTTATTTGCATTGGTAGGTTTTTATTTATATGTTAGCTTAGCTGTGTTGTCATCCATTCTTGCCACTTCTTTTCCCAGGAGTGAAGGATCAAGACCGAAGGGAGGCTCTGCCACTTGCTCCCTTCTCTCCCTCTTACCCGTTAGTGTTTGGTGCTCTATCTTGATGTGTTCTTTGACCAATGAGCAGACCCAAGAAAAGGTGGTTCTACTACATGTCAAGATTAAAATTCTTTTAACTTGTCCCCAAGTCCTGCTCAGTACCTGGTCACCCAACATGGCAGGTGTGAGAACAAGACTTAGAGAAGCACTTAAGAGAAATGAAATATTTTTGAAATTTATCAACGTTATTTCTTACCCAATTTTTTTGGCCTTTTTCTCACAATCAGGAAGGGAACCTGATTGGATTACCCCTTCTGATTGACAACTATGTGCCCCCTTTGGAAGGACTGCCTATCTTCATTCTTCGACTGGCTACAGAGGTAAGTGGTCAGGCAGGTGCTAAGCATGGGGGCTTGTTCTCGCATGTTTGGGAGGGAAAGAACATACCACCCATTCTTCATTTGGAATTGTAAAGATAACTAGATAAAACCACCAAGGGCCACCCTCTCCCCCCAATATTCATCCCAGAGTACTTAGCAGGCCAACTGACAGTTTTAATCTGTGGAAAGTCACATTTGTAAGCTGTGATTTACAACCTCCATTTAGAAATGACAGTGTTTAAAGCATGTACTCATCTTGAGGTATTGAATTTTTTGAACCAGGTGAATTGGGATGAAGAAAAAGAATGTTTTGAAAGCCTCAGTAAGGAATGCGCTGTATTTTACTCCATCCGCAAGCAGTATATATCGGAAGAGACAGTCCTCTCAGGCCAGCAGGTACTATGGTGGTGCACCCCTTGGGACAGACTTTCACACACCTTTAGACGGTGAGACTTGTCAGTCTCTAAAACGCTACTGTGTGGAGTAAGATTCAAATAGTCGTCAGTTTTTCTAGTAGACCTTAGGATTAGCTTAGGCTTCCCTCAAACTTAAGGTCCTTCTCTCTGTGAATCCTGAGTGCTGGGATTACAGGTATGTATTACCTCTTCTGGTTTATTCGTGAGTGGGGTTTGACCTCAAGGCCTTGCACTTGCTGGCCTGGTACTTTAATACTTAGGCCACACCTGCTTGCTGATTATTTGGAGATGGCATCTAGTGAACTTTTCGGCCCCCAACTGCAGTTCTCTGAGTAGCTAGGATTATAGGCATGATCCTCTTGAGTTTTATTTCCTTCTATTCTAGACTAGGTACTTCCAGTGATCTCAGAAACTATCAAGTGTAGAAACAAGTACAAGGCATCACAGTGACAGGGGTGCAGTTTAAGACTGTCCTACACTGGTGGGTCTGTTATCTCTCACATCTCCCACTTAACCCCAAGTCTTCACATTCTGGATCAGTTTCCACAGTGACTCTTAGTTCTTTCTCTCTTAACTGCTTAGCCAGGAAGCAAGCTCTACAATTCCTTTTACAGATCATCTGGACACAGAGAGCCCTGGGTTCCTAATGTGTCACATGGGGAGAGGAAAGAAGGGGCCAAAGTAGGATGGGAATCAAAGGATAGCCACTATGATTTCTAACCATCTTAAAATGATTGGCCCATCCACCCCCACAGGTGGTGGTATTCTTGTTTCAGCAGTAGTAAGGACAATTGGGTGTGCTCACAAGGACTCCCAGAGCCTTTAGATGGTAGAGCAGAGATTTAGTTATAGGTCCTGTTTGCTCAAACCCCTAAGAAATTTTCACTCCAGTGCTTTGAGAAGGCAAGAGACGTACTCAGCAATTAACTAAGCTGAACTTCCTGGTTGGGAAAATCTACTTCAATAACAGGAAGGATAGATTAAAAAAAAAAAAAGAGCATCTTGTACACAAGACAACTAAGACTTAGAAGTAGCAGAGGAATGATAATGATATTTATCTTTATTTTTCTGAGCTCTTTCGCTCAAGGCTAGTGTTTTATCATTTTGAGCCACAGCTCCACTTCCAGTTTTCTGGTAGTATGTATACTGGAGGTATACATGGTAAAGTATAAAAGTCTCATGGACTTTTCTGCCTAGGCTGTCTTAGAACTGCAGTCCTCAGATCTCAGCCTTCTGAGTAGTAGCTAGGATTACAAGCGTGAGCCACCAGCACCCAGCAACATTTTTTAAAATATTTTTTCTCTTTTAATTTTATTTCTTTCATTTATTCACTTTTTTCCCCCTGTGTATGTGGTACTGAGGAATCGAACCCAGGGCTTCATGCATGCTAGGCAAGCACTCTACCACTAAGCCACCTTCCCAGCCGCTTTTAGGCTCCCAAATTTGTAGTGAGTAGGTACTTCCAACTGTTGCCATCCAGATGTTGTGATCAGACATTGATAGATCCTGCTACAAGAAACACAACCTCCTTATATGGAAGTTCAATTGGAGACAGTCCTACAGAGCAGTGGCTTTTCTCCCTCTATTTGCTCAGAGACTAGCCTACAACAACATAACCCACTGTAAGCCCAGTGCCCAGCTCAGTATACAGGAAGCCAGTTTGTATAGGAAGATGACATATATTGCTTGTGTTTCCCAGAGTGAAGTGCCCGGCTCCATCCCAAAATCCTGGAAGTGGACTGTAGAACACATTGTCTATAAAGCTCTCCGCTCACACCTTCTGCCACCTAAGCATTTCACAGAAGATGGTAATGTCCTGCAGCTTGCCAACCTGCCAGATCTATACAAAGTCTTTGAGAGGTGTTAAGTGTGGTTCATTAATGGACTCTAGGGTCTTTTATTCTTCCTCTGTATCCCAATGTTGTTGGTGAAGAGACTTAAGATACAAGATTTTCAATTGCCTTCTAGCACCCTTTCATGTCTTAATTGACTACAAATAAATTGTCAAATGTGTTTTAATGTAATTTCTTATTTACTTCACAATTGAAAACTTCTACATCAATTTTCCCTAATTCACTCTTGTTAAAAAAAAATCCCAAAGAAGTTTGGCATCTGACAAGGTGTTAAATTAAGAATCCTAAGGTCTTGAGGATTTTCCAGATTTTTCCGCTCCGGGAAATTTATCAGGTTTCATGTACTATATGTCAGTTCAGATGTCTTTTGAAAGAATCTTGAACATGTAAGAGACTGCTGATATTGACCATAAAGAAGGCCTTGAAGGGGCTGGGAAGGTGGCTCAGTGGTAGAGTGCTTGCCTTGCGTGCATGGGGCCCTGGGTTCAATTCCCCAGCGCCACATAAGCAAAAAGAAAAAAGCTGGAAGTGGCGCTGTGGCTCAAGTGGTAGAGCGCTAGCCTTGAGCTGAAGAGCTGAAGGACAGCGCCCAGGCCCAGAGTTCAGGCCCCACAACCGGACCCAAAAAAAAAAGAAGGCCTTGAAGTAAAAATCTTATTAATATCTTCAGTAAGCCAATCTAATTTTTTCTTAAGGGAAAAACTTGAGGGAAGAAATCAGTTCTTATCCAGTGTTTAACAGGCAGGAGTTGTAATGTAAATCCATGTTGCTAATGGCCATGAGTACTTGTCACTGAAGTTTGTAACTGAAGCTTCTAAGTATTCTTATTTGAAGTATAATGTAAAACTGAGGTGCCATTGTAAAAAAGGTGCCATTTTCACTGGCCTAACTTCTGTTTGTGTCATGTTTAACCCCTTTAACTTTTTTCCTTCAGAATTGCCCTATTGAATTGCCCTATTGTAGTTAAAACCTTTAATTTCAGGAATGGGAAAAAACTATTCTCAAGGAAGAGAAAATCTTAAAAGGATAGACCTACTCCTAGATGAGGACCTATGATGTTGAAGGGGCACCCCAGAAAGGGAGATCACCTTAGGGAAACCAGAACTGAGATGATCACTCAGATCAAGATTACTTGCTCTGTTGGCTATACTTACCGCATCCCCCTTCCTTCATTTTCCTGTTCTAGAAAATATCAGAGCTCCTGTGAGCCCTTCACTATGTTGTTAGAAGTCACTATACCCAATATGGCCACATTGATTAAATTTCCTTTCTGTCCTTCATCACTTAATACTCATCTCTTTGATGAGCATATTGCAAGAGATGGTCAAGCATAGTCCCTTGAGACTTCTGGAGCCAGGCTTTTGTTCTAAGACTCTGGTAACAAAAATATAAACTGTAAGAAACAGACCAGTCAGCACAGAACTTAACCTGTGATGTTAAGGTAAAATCCATATAACAGAGGACCTCAGTGAAGTTCAGTGGGAAAGAACCAAATACCTAGGGACAACACAATGGAGGACACATTTGTTAAACCATAAAAGGAGCAAAATCAGCTCCTGATAGTTTCAAACTCTAAGCAGCAGACCAACTGGGGCATCTCCGAGGTAAGGTTCCTTCAATGAAGCAGGAGGGACACATGCCAAACAATTTTGAGAGAGGAGGGAAAGGTGTCACCCTGGTCTCAGGCTGGACCATTCTATGCATTATAGAAGAAATTGCATTTCAGAATATTCTTCCCACCATCAACTACACAGCTAGTATAATTAGAATATGTTGGTTCCCCAATTCATTTTCAGTTTCCAGATTGGAAACTAAAACCTTAAAAAAAACTGAATGGCTCTAAAAAAGGGAACAACTATTAGAGATTTTATTCACTTCTTGGTTAACTTTATTATCTAGTTTCAAGTATATATGGCCTTTATTCATTAGATTTTTTCCCAGTATATTTTCTGCATGAACACTTTGAAGCTAGTGTAATCATTTCCATTTCTACAGGATCAATTCTGACAAGAGTCCCAACTGCTGCAAAGTAGCTACACTTGATTTTAAGCAACTTGAACTTTAGTGATGAAAATCAGACTTAAGAAATCTGTATTCCAGATTATTTGTCCTGGAGGAGAAAAAAGGAGAAAAAAAAAAAAAAAAGCAAGATGGATATGGTGACCACAGTTTGTTCTGTATCAAAATGAACATGTCAGTAGCCAGTTGTTTGGGCAGAAGGTTGTATTTAATAGAATCTTTGGCAGATTCCCCTCCTGCTTGCTCTGCCCTCCCTCCCCATTTTGGATTTGTTTGAAACTTCATTCCACCAATAAGCAGCAGATGAAAATACTTTACAAGGTACAGCACAGTTGATTTGGAAGAATAAAGACCCTATTCTTTAAGAATACAGGCCTTATACTCCCCTTGCCCCATGCAATAAAGCAAGTTTTATATACACTCCCCATTTTTCCTATCATTTTCTCATATAAATTTAAATATTTTACAAAGGCTTTTTCCTCCAAACATTGAAATACAGACTCCCAACCTGTGAACTTACTTCCTCACTAAAATATAAATGCTATCTGATAGGAAGAGTAAATATCTTTTGCCTACTCGAGATCCTGAAGTCTGAACTGTACTGTGGAGAAGGCACTTGTGTTTTGTGATAACTCCAGCAAGTGTCAGTGAGCTCAGAATCGCTGTCCTACAGTGTTCAGTCTGAGGCAGCTGGGGAAAAATGATGACTATACTTGATTTTCAGAAATTATGGAAATAAAAACAGCACAAACAATTTGAGTCTAGAATCAAGCTATAAACAAAATCCAGAGTAATAATTCATGAAGATTCAAACCTGCTTCACTCTCATAAATTATAAAATACAGGTGGCTGTTTTAATAATGACTCAAAACAGTACTGAAAGGGGTTTGTGTCAATATACAAAAAGTCCTTCTGGGCAGAGCTCTCAGAGCAACACCCAGTTTGAAGAGTAGCTTCTCTACTGCTGGGCCAGAAGTGCTGTCCTGTTGGCCTTCATCTTCTCCAGCCTCTTGGCCAGATGGCTATTAGTCATCTCCATCTCCTCAATCTTGTCCAGTGCTGTTCGTAACTGGAGACAGAGAGAGCATAGTCACTTTAGGTGATCAGAAACAGCAGTTAGTACCTTCTAGTAAACTGAAGGCATTACTAATGGTGATGCCCTTACAGAGTCCCCAGATAAACTCCTTTTTTTCCCCTAAGCGTTAGAGGTATTAAACATCATACTGACATTATTGACATCACAGAGAAGATACACAGAATTTGCAGAAACAGACTTGGTCTATAAAGTAAAAATTAAAACCTACAAGTAAGGCGGCCGTCACTGTGCAGATATATAAAGCCGATACAAAAACAAGTGACTCCACTGCTGTTCCCTTAAATATTCTACCCAGAATTAAATTTCTTAAACAGTGAAGAATTTCAATAACTTTTTTTCTGTTTAGGAATGAGATCTCCAAGAGCATACATACCTCTCGTTGTAGCTTCCTCTTTTCTGCTTTGAGCTCATCTTCAACTTTCTCAGCATTCTCAGCAGCAGTTTTATATCTTAGCACCTGGCCTTCAAGACGGTTAATCTGTAAATATGATAATCTGTTAAAAGCTCCAGTCTTGAATTTTCTTGAAGCAGCTACAAAAAGAATTACAAGTTCATATTCCTATATATTTTTAAGAAATACAGTAAATATAAGAATAAATATAAGAAATATAATTTCTATGAAATAATTAGCACCTAGCCTTCAAGCCGGCTAATCTGTAAATAAAATAATCTGTTAAAAAGCACCGATCTTGGGCGGGGATGTGGCTTAGTGTTAAGAGTGCTGCCTAGCATGCATGAAGCCCTGGGTTTGGTTCCTCAGCACCACATAATCAGAAAAGGCCAAAAGTGTTGTTGTGGTTCAGATGGTAGAGTGCTAGCCTTAAGCAAAAAAAAGCTCAGGCATAGTGCCCTGGGGCTCTTGAGTTCAAGCCCCAGGACTAAGAGAGAAAAAAAAAAAAGCTCTGATCTTGAATCTCTTGAAGCAGCTACAAAAAGAATGACAAGTTCGTGTGTGTGTGTGTGTGTGTGTGTGTGTGTGTGTGTGTGTGTGTGTGTGTGTGTGTGTGTGTGTGTGTGTGTGTGTGTGTGTGTGTGTGTGTGTGTGTAATTTTTTTTTTTGGGGGGGGGGGTCAGTCATGGGGACCCTGAGCTTGCTCAAGGCTCGCACTCTACCACTTGAGCCACAGTGCCACTTCTGGTTTTCTGGTAGTTAATTGGAGATAACAGTCTCACAGACTTTTCCTGCCTGGGGCTAGCTTTGAACCGTGATCCTCAGATCTCAGCCTCCTGAGTAGCTAGCATTATAGGCATGAGCCACTGGCACGTGGCCATATTTATATATTTTTAAGAAAATATGAAGTTGAGGGGCTGGGAAGGTGGCTCAGTGGTAGAGTGTTTGCCTTGCATGCCTGAGGCCCTGGGTTTGATTCCTGAGCACCACATAAGAAAAAAGCTGGAAGTGGCACTGTGGCTCAAGTGGTAGAGCGCTAGCCTTGAGCTGAAGAACTGAGGGACAGCGCCCAGGCCCAGAGTTCAGGCTCCACGACCGGACCAAAAAAAAATGAAGTTGAAGTGCCCTGTTAGATATTCTCTGCTAGTTTTCTATTATAGCATAAAGAATATAGAATATTTTTTAGAATATATTTATAATATATTTTTATAGTATAAATATATCTTTTTATACTAATACTATATATAATAAATATAGAATATAGGCTGCAAAGGCTGCCACAGAACTCCCAGGATTATCCACTTAAAATGCAAGAAGCAGATACAAAATGATACTTATCAAAATGAACTCCAAGAAAAGGAAATGAGATTGTTTGTTTTGCTTTGTTTTGCCAGTCCTGGGGCTTGAATTCAGGGCCTGAGCTCTGTCCCTGAGCTTCTTTTGCTCAAGCCTAGCACCCTACCACAAAGCACCACTTCTGGCTTTTTCTGTTTATGTGGTACTGAGAAATCAAACCCAGGGCTTCATGCATGCTAGGCAAACACTCTACCACTAAGCCACATTCCCAACCCAAGGTTTTATTTTAAAAATTATTTCTTTTTTCTTGTTTGGTTTATTCCTTTATGTCACTCTTTTTGATTTTTGTACCCTTTGTCTTATATATAAGTTTACCTGATTTGGGGAAGGGAAAGGGAGTCACAGAAATAGTGGGACAAAGGGTGAACCAATTCAACAGTGATACTCACTAGACACAATGTTAGAAATGAATTTTACAACTTGCAGAGAGTGGAGTGCGGGGGGATGGAAGAAAATGAGGAAGGACACTTCAAAAAGAAATGTACTCATTACCTGACTTATGTAACACCTCTTTCATCACCTTTACAATAAAATTTAAATTAAAGAAATAATAAACATTTAACTCATTTAGTACCTCAAAGAAGTACTTACACTTTGTTCCAACGTGGTTATGTCCTGTTCTGCTTTTGAAAGCTTAAATTTGTACTCACTAATTTGTCTATTAGCATCTCCTAGAACAGAAGATAATAATGAATTAACTTCATCTCCCAGAGATGGAAGTATCAGGCATCAAGCAATAATGTTCTCTGTAATACACAAAGCACATACATGCACAGAGATTCTACAACAGTCCAGATTCTAGACTGCAAGAAACTATTATTTACACTGTATCAGTATTCCTAGAAGCAAGAATTAGCAGACAGATCCTCCTTTATCTCTCATACGTGAGCAAGCTCCGAGAAAAGGATCCTTGCCAAGGAAGCAGTTGTCCATACCTGATCTTTAACTGCAACCCTGTGGCCCAAAATGCCTCTGTATTCCCTGGACTGGGTCTTCTGGTTCTTGGAACCAGCCCTGCAACCTCTACCTCTAAAGTTTGTTTCTGCTCTCCCATACCACTAGGGTACTGTTACCCCACCTCTGATTCAAATCTCAACTTTCAAGACCATGCTCATTTTCATCTCTTTTACCCTCCATAAATGACTTTTACTTGCATCCTTTTTATGACATATATCTGTGTTCTTCTAAATACAATGAGTGTATAAAAAGTGGAGCTTTGCTTTCTTACTAAATCTGTGTTTATACCTGAGCAAATGCTTTGAAAATAATGTATGCTTTAGTAAACTGAAAACAAATGCTTCCAATAACAGGTTGTAATGTTATGGATAGAGCTGTAAGATAATTTACTTGACCTAAGAAACTACTTAAAGTAATAAGTTAAGATATTCGGGGGGAGGTGGGGGATGTGCGCAGGCACTAGGTAAAATTTCATTCTGGGAACACAAATCATCTTCTGAAATGAGTATACTCCTAAGGATTACAAAAGATTTATGTCAACTCTAACCTACTAAGGAAATACTCAACAACCTAACAATAACTTTTCTACATTTCCATATTACCAAGATTGGAATTAGCTATATAACTCAATGTAACATGTATTATTGGTCAGTTACTGATACTCTGGAAGTAATGGGAGCCAGGATGGTGGTAAACATCTGTAATCTCAGCACTAAAGCGGTTCAAGCAGGAAGATCCTGAGTTCAAGGCTAGCTGGAGCTACATGGTAAGATCTTGCCTAAAAATAAATAAATAAATAAGTAAAATAAAACAAGGTGGTAATACATGACCTCCTCCAAGGCTACCTTTGGTAGTGGAACGAACATTCCAGTCATCAGCCCTAAAACAGCAGCTAGAAAGTCTTATTTCAAAATTCTTACCTCCAGTAGTCTACTAATTATCAAAATGTATGGCTTCCTTCTTTCTCACTGCAAGTCACTCATTTCTTCCTGTATTTAAAAGCCCCTTTACTCAAACCATCTTGTATGTAAAACACCCAAGGGCACTATCTACAGTCAGGAATGGCTCAGGCCCGTTCCTGGCCTTCTGGTCCAGGAGAGCTATGTATTTTATCTTCACCAGTAGACCCAGCCTTCCCAGTGTTCCTCAGCTCACTTTATTCCATACCTATACTTGTATACTTTCCCTCACCTACAATGCTGTATCTAGTAAGAATTCACACATAAATGCCAGCCCATCCCTCTTCTATTTGATTTCTTTTGAATTTGTTCCTTTGAGCCAATCACTCCAAACTGGGCCCTGCCTCTCTAGGACTGCAGCAGCCATTGTACTATTCCATCATAGCATCCTAACTGGCTGATCTTTCTACAACGTTCCTGCAGTCGCAACTCTCCACACCAAAATGACAGATTATTCAACAGGAAACATCAGGAGGCTGCAAGCTGACACCCAAAAAAGGAAGTAATGCTGCCCTCAAAAATTAGGATTAGGGCTGGGAATGTGGCTTGTGGTAGAGTGCTTGCCTAGCATGCATAAAACTCGGTTCAATTCCTCAGTACCACATAAACAGAAAAGGCCAGAAGTGGTGCAGTGGCTCAAGTGATAGAGTGCTAGCCTTGAGCACAGAAAAGCTCAAGCCCCAGTACTGGCAAAAAAAAAAAAAAAGACTAGCTGGATACCCATAATCCTAGCTACTTAAAAGGCTGAAATTGAGAGGATCATGATTTGAGACCAACCTAGGCAAAAAGTTCACGAGAGCCCAACAAAAAATGCTGGGTATGGTGGCATGAATCTGTCATCTCAGCTATGGCAGGAAGCATGGGCTGTAGTGTCAGCCCCAAGCAAAAAGACCCTAACCAATAAAAGAGCCAAGTGGGCTGGAGGCTTGGCTCAAGTGGTAGAATGAGTACCTGCCTGGCAAGGCCCTGAGTTCATACCTCAGTACTACCCAAAGTAAGTCAGTAATAATATCCCTTAATTCATAAAGGCCTACAAAATTTGGCCTAAATGAAAAGACCATAAATAGGAGTTATCTGGAAATTTTTTTATGTAGGCACTTAAAAATAATCAGGAGCCAAAAGTAGAAAAGGGAAGAAAAAAAACTCTATTTGTATAAACTTGAGAATACTAGACTATTTTGTGGCTGTGTTCTAAATTCCATCTGTAGTGCAGGCTGGGTCCTCCTGCTTAAGCCTCTAGAATGCTGGGGTTGCAAATGTTTACTACCATGCTTAAGTTCCAGAGTATCGGTAACTGACCAACAAAACTTTACATTGAGCATTGAGGTTATACAGGTAGTTCTAATCTTGGTTATGTGGAAAGAATCAGGTTTGTGTTACAAACTTCTAGGAAAATTCTGAAGCTACTCAACATTGTGTTAGTCTCAAATCTCAATTATCCAAGATAAACTGCACATAAATGGTAGCTCAAAGATGACATGCAGGTATAGAAAAGGACAGTGTCCAGGAAAGAAAAATAACTTACCCTTTTACATTCAAATAGAGAAGAGCCTCTATTTGACTCTTGTATTCGTCTGTACCAACCATTGTAAACAGAATTTTTGCAGAGATAAGCATACTATGAAAGCAGATTACTCATAATCCTGCCCCAAAGACAAGGCTTACATACTAGCAGAGACTGATATCCCCTGGTACCTACTCTGCATCTCGATAAACTGCAAGTCTGAACCGTTCTGCAGTCCTACCAAGTCACCAGCTATGCCATCATTCCTGGAGCATTTTTGCCGTTCTTCCTCTAACTGTAGCTTCAGTTTTCTAATCTGAGATGGAAATAAAAGGCACCAGTCAGATCAGTTTCTTAATAGCCCAGTGGCCACACTGTAGAACACTGTATCAACAGATCATACATATTGGAACTATTTTCTCCTGGTCTCAAGAAGATAAGAGTAGATACCCACCACATTCCTGTATTTCCATGAACTAGAAATAAAACTTAAGGTATGTAGCTACAAGGAAAAGTAAGCAGTGTAGTAAACCAAGCGAGGGCACCAGTAAAAGAATAGACAGCTAGTAAATAAAGAAAATTAAGAAATGTATTCATTACCTGTCTTATGTAACTGTAACCCCTCTGTACTTCACCTTTATAATAATTTTTTAAATGAAAAAAAAAAAAGAAACTGCAGATCTACTTAAAAAAAAGAAAACAGCTCAGGAAGAGTTCAGAGTGACCTCAAGTAGGATCCAATCTGTTCCACCCTTAACATTGTATTTGTGGCAAGAGCCACCTAAGTGTATACTGTGAAGCCTTATATCCAGCCTGATGAAAGCTACCCAGCAATTATGTGTGTATTCCATCTTAGCTAGGAAGCCCTGAAGAATTATCCCACCAGCCAACAATATCCTTAAACCTGCTGTTGAAGCCAGCATATATATGTATATAAAACTTCATGTCTCTGTCAGACAGACTGATCAGGGCCTTGAGCCTTGTTCCAGCAGACACTTAGATCACTTGTCCACAACAAAAGGTGGGCTTGAGGATACCAGCTATATCCCTAGACCTGTCCCACAGCACAATGTATCCTCTACTCACCACTGTGGAAACACAAGAAACCATAAAAAAAATTCAACTATAAAGAAAATGAACAATTAACTTTTGAAGGATTAACGAGTCACTGAAATAAAAATCTGTAGCGTCAAATGAAAATACAACCTACCAGAACTTTTGGTGCAGAGCAAAGAGGAAAGTTTATAGCTGAATGTCTACATTATGAACTCAGATCTCAAGTGAATAATCTATGTACCATAAGCTATTAGGGAAACAAGACAAATCAAAAAAGCTAGTCACAGTGATAGATGTCTAAATCAGCTAATCAGGAGGTAGATAGAGCTAACGGCAGGGCCTGGGCATGTGCCTGTCGCCCAGTTATGCGGAGCTCATAAATAAGATGTGGTCCATGCCAACCTGGGCAAAAATGAGAAAGACTCCATCCCCAAAATAACTAAGAGGAAGAAATGGGATTAAAGTGACGCAGAGCTTGCCTAACAAGGTCAAGGCCCCAAGTTCAGCCCACAATAACACACACACACACAAAGAATCAAAGAAAAAACCTGATTCTTTGAAAAGATAAACAAAATTGACAAACTCTTATCCAAACCAAAGAAAGGAGAACACTGAATAAAATGGAGATTTTATGAAAGGGGATCTCAACAAATAATGAAAATTCAGTAGAGAATACTTCAAAATATGTGTTCTTGTAGACACCAGTGGTTCACATCTAGCTATTCAGAAGGGTGAGATCTGAGGATCATAGTTTGAAGCCAGCCAAGGTAGGGAAGTCTTTGAGACTCTTATCTCCAATCAACCAGCCCTAGACTTGAACACAAAAACTCAGGAACAATGCTCAGCCCTGAGTTCAAGCCCTTGATGGCATGTGTGCGCACACTCACATTCACACACACACTCTCTCTCTCTCTCTCTCTCACACACACACACACACACACATACACACACACACACACACATACCTTCTAATGGACTGGAAAAATCTGGATGTATGACTTAACTAAAATTGAGCCAACAACATAAAAACCTCCAAAACTTTAACAAGTAATGAAACTAAAGTGGTAATAGTCTCCCAGCAAAGAAAAGTTCATAATTGGATTGCTTCACTGACAAATTTTACCATACTTTTTAAGAATACCAATGCTCCTCAAACTATTCCATAAAATAGAAAAAAGTAAAAGGAATACTAACCAAACTTATTTTATAAACAGTATTACCCTGCTATAAAAACTATAGGACACAACAACATACAAAAAAAGGAAATTATAGATTTAATTACCTTAATGAACACTGACATAAAAATTCTCAGTAATATGTGAATACTAAATACAACAATATATTAAAAAGATCATATACCATACTGAGTTGGTTTCATTCCAGGGGTGCAAAGACAGTTAAATATTTGTAAATAAATAAATCTGGTACAGTGCATAAATATAATAAAGGGCAAAAATCACACTATCATCTCGATGCAGAAAAAGCTTTGGATAAAAATCCATTATCTCTTCAAGATAAAAGCCCTGGAGAAACCAAGCATGTAATCCCAGTTATTCAAGAGGCAGAGAAAACAGTAGGATAGCAGTTTGAGCCAGCAAAACGTTAGTGAACACCAATGTGAATTAACAAGCTAGCTATAGTGGTACAAACATATGAACCCAGCTACTCAGGAGGCATAAGTAGAAGGATCAAGGCAAAACACAAGATACTATCTAAAAAAGAACAAAAGCAAAAAAAGGAGTAGGGGCATAATTCAAGTGGTAGAGTGTCTGTTTAGTAAGTACAAGGCTCAAAATTCAAACCCAAGTATTTCTATCCCCTCTCCCCAAACAAAGCCGTGAAGAAATTAGGAATAATAAGGAATGCACTTCAATATAAAGGCTCTATATGATAAACATAGAGCCAATATAACCCTAAATGGAAAAAAAAACTGAAAATATTTCCTCTGAAGTCAGGAACTGAGATAAGGATGTTCATTTCCTTCACTTTTACTTGATATATGATCCAAGCAATTACTAGCCAGAGCAATAAACTAGAAAAAGGGGGAGAGAGAGAGAGAGAGAGAGGGAGGGAGGGAGAGAGGGAGAAATGGATACAGAGGAAAGGAAGAAATCACATTATTGGCTAATCATCCTAAACATTGAAGATTTTAACAAAAAAAATTTATTTATTTTTTTTTTTTGGTCAGTCGTGGGACTTGAACTCTAGGCTTGGGTGCTGTCCCTGTGCTCTTCAGCTCAAGGCCAGTGCTCTACCGCTTGAGCCACAGCGCCACTTCCTGTTTTCTAGTGGTTTATTGGAGATAAGTCTCACAGACTTTCCTGCCTGGGCTGGCTTTGAACCACGATCCTCAGATCTTGGCCTCCTGAGTAGCTAGGATTACAGGCGTGAGCCACCAGTGCCCGGCTTTTTAACAAAAATTTCTAAACATAAAAATTTCTTAGATCTGGAAAGTACTTTTCAGGAAAGTATCAGGTTATAAAACCAACATTCAAGAATCAGTAGTTTTTCAATATACCAATAATAAATATTCTGAGAAAGATCAGGAAAACAATCTCAGTCACAATAGATGGACAAAATAGTGGTACATGTCATCTCTCATATGTTACATCTGAGTCTTAAAAAAAAGTCAGAAGTATAAAACAGGTACACTGAGGGTGGAAACAAGTGAGAGGGTAGAGGAAGAAAGAGAATGAGGGAAGATAAATATGACCAACGTACTTTACAAGCATGTATGAAAATAATGATCTAGGCACTGGTGGCTCATCTTATAATCCTAGTTATTCAGAAGGCCTGCACCTGGAGATTCATGGTTTGAAGCCAGCCTGGGCATACAAGTCCATGAGCCTCCATCTCTAACTAACCATAAAAAGGCCAGGCTAGAGGCATGGTTCAAGGGGCAAAGTGCTAGCTGTGAGCATGAAAGTCAAAGAAGGTCAAGGCTCTGAGTTAAAGAAATGAAGTAAGCCTATTAAAAATGTTTAAAAGGGGCAGGAAAGAAGGATAAGTAACAGGAAAGGTAAATTTGACCAAAGTACGTATTATATGTATGTGCATTATGTACACAATGAATTTGTACAATATATGCTAATTTAAAAACTACTTTCTTGGGTCCCAACAATGGGATACATGGATCTAGGTATTCAAGATCATTTGAGCAAATAGGAAGAGAAGTAATCCCCAAGGCCAGGTTTTCCAGATAGTATGTGTTTATGAAATAGTCCATCATTTGGGTAATTCCTATAACTTTTATTAAAAATAGAAAATTTAATAAGCAAGCAAGCAATTTTGTTTACTTTTAGAAAAGTTAAATACTCTTTTAGAAAACTTTCTATATACAAAGATAACTGGAAATATATAAGTGGCTTTCTAAACTGTCCTTAACTCTATTAACAGGGATCAAGAGGAAACTAGGCATCAGGTTTGCACTAAACTGGAACTGAAATTCATACTTCTCAGAGACCTCTTGCCCTTTCAACATGCATGGGTTGTCATTGCTATCTGTCTGGAGGGAATTATGGGTTATCATTCCCATCATTCCTACTTATGTCCATCTCTAAAAGGGTCATCCATCCTTTCCTGCACTCTTCCTCACAAGGCCCTTTAACATGCATAACATTCATTTCCTAACCTTTCACCAGGTCAGACATGCTTCCACTGTGCCTTCTAGAATTAGCCCTCCATCAGCAAACCCCTTCCTCAGCCTCTTGTTTGAGTGCCCTCTAACATAACACACTCACAGAAACCTGTTATTCCTGAAACCTTACCACACACTGCTGTTTTCATCTTGTACATCTTCCTAGAAATGGAGGTTCCCCTTGCTGCTGCTGAACAATATTCTCCCTCCATTCTCCTGAGAAGTCCCTGTTCTTAATTTCATCTCTTCAACTCATATTTCTTCAAATCTCATCTCTTCAAATCACACAAATCCTCTCATATTGCCATCATCCCACGACTTTGTTACCCTACTCTTTCTTGACTTACATGCCCTCAGCACTTATCTTAATTCCTAGAAATTTCAATTTACACCTAAGTGGAAGCTTTCTTCCAGAACTAACCTCTCAGTTTCTGGAATATCTCCTCAACACATTTCTTACCATCTCTATCAATTCTTGATCTCAGCCTCTCCTGCCCATAGTCATATATTAGAGCTCAACTTTAGATAGCCATACTCTCTGCATCTGATTAGGTCCATCTATCCTCTATTGAACCACAATCCTTCCAGCTCATTCACTCTAGATTCTAACTCTTAACATCCTTCAAACGCAGTAGCACTTCTAACCCACTAATCCATCTTCTTTCCACAGTGTCTTGATGTCTTCCCAGATGTCTTCTCAATCCTTACCCAGTATAATTTCTAGGTCCATCATTATCATCACTCTCCTATATAGTCCTCATTCTCCTACCTCATAATACATGCGTAATAAAAGTATTTACTGTATGCCCATACCTATACAACTAAATGTAGCCAGAGAAGTACATAGAATAAATGTGTTCACAACCTTTTTAACATTATGATTTACTACTTAATTATTGTTGTTTATTGTCATAAGTCTCTTTCTACTAGAATATAAGGTCTACTGGGGCAGGAATGCTTTTTACTTATTTATTCACTTAAATATCCCAATGACAAGAATAGTATCTGTTAAACAGTGAAATATGACAATATTTGTTGAATGGCTGAACAGGAATAATGGAGAAAATCAATGAAGTTTCCAAGAAATTGCCTCAGAACTAAAGGAGTTTCTAGAATTGCCAGGGGCCCATCAAAATACATCAACTTGAAATTACAAAACACTAAGAATAAAGAGAATAGGGTACAAGCTTTCAGAAGTAGGGGGGGAAATATGCCACATATAAAGATTAAAAGTCCAAGTGTCCTCAGAATTCTCAACAACCACCCTGAAAGACAAAAGACAATGAAGAATGCCTTTTTTAAAAATCTGAAGCAAAATTATTGCAACCCAGAAATAGATATTCATCCAAAGTAGTAATTAAGTAAGAAGGAAAGACACTTTCAGGCCTCAAAGATCATGTAAAATGAACAGCCTACAAACACTTTCCTCAAGAAGTTACTTAAGTTTAAATCAAAATAAAAGGAAGAAGTAAGAAGGTAGGAGAGACTAGGAAAAGGAATCCCAACCCAAATCACAGGCAGACAAAGTCCCCACATGCTTATGAAGGAAGATTATATCCCTGAATGGAAAGGATGAGCCATTAGTTCAGAATGTGTTGAATCAGATGCTCTAACATTTATCAAGATGGTCTTTTGAAAGAAATATGATATATCAAGAAACCCTGCCTTTAAGCTACAGTTTAAAACTGTGACTAAATTATTGAAAAACACAAAAATCAGACACATGATATGAAGAGAAAAAATTGTAATATTAACTACAGTGGAACAAATAGTTGTAAAGGAGATGAAAAGCAGTCCTAGAATGTAACACATCTCCCCAGTGAGCAGTGTACAGAGCCCTGATGACATAAATAGATTAAATGTTAAGAGGCTATGGGAATGGGATATGTGCATGTGTATAGCAGAGATTCATCTGTCACAGAGGAATTTCAACAGAGATTGTTTAAAACCAAACAACCATGAAGTAATGCAAACACGTTACATGGAGAGAGTGCATACCAGAGTCAGAAAAAGAACTGGATAGAAATGGTCACAGAGAAGCCAAGAGTGGTGGCTTATGCCTGTAAACTCTAGCTATTTGGGAGGGGGAGACTAGGAGGATTGCAGTTCATGGCCATCCCAAGCATAAACACAACTATCTCAATCAGCAGCTGAACGCAGTAGCATACATCTTTTTTTTTTTTTTTTTTGGGGGGGGGGGGGGGTGGTCCGGTCGTGGGGCTTGAACTCAGGGCCTGGGCGCTGTCCCTCAGCTCTTCAGCTCAAGGCTAGTGCTCTACCACTTGAGCCACAGCAATACTTCCGTCTTTTTTCTTTTTGTTTATGTGGTGCTGAGGAATCAAACCCAGGGCCTCATGCATGCAAGGTAAGCACGCTACCACTGAGCCACCTTCCCAGCCCCAGCATACATCTTTTATACTGGCTACATGGGAAGTATAAATAGGCACACTGCAGTCCAGGCCAAATTCTGGACACACATATACATCCTCATTTGAAAGAAATGATGACATAAGAATAAGGGCTATGACTAAAGAGGCATAACTCCTGCCTACGAGTAAGGATAAGTTCAAGCCCTTGTATCAAGAGTGACAGAAACACACACACGAAGAGACACAGAGAGACAGACAAGGAAAAAGAGGGAGGACAGGAGGGTCAGACAGAAGATGGTTATCTTTCACAAGATTTGGAGAACAAAATGACTCATTAAAGTGTGTGTACCTATAATTTTTTTAAAAGAATAAAGAAATAAAAATATGAATCATCTTTTTATCCTTAAAATCATACTAAAATTTAAATACATGTAGTAAGTTTAAAATAATCTTATTGGTTTAAATTTTCCAATTTCTAATGCACATTTTAATATTTTACTATATAAACAACTAAAATAAAAACAATACCTCCATTGAGAAGAATATTTTACCTGCGATAGTAACTCTTCCTTTTCTCCAGCAAGTTTTCGTAGCCTTACATCTAAAACAAATGGAAAGGGCTTTAAACTAAATTTGTAATGGTGAAATCTGTGAACAACTAGACGTTCTTCCAAGTTCATACATAGCAAACATAATCTGATCATTACAGATCTGAACATGAAAAGAAACAAAGGCTTTAATCATATTATAGAAGAGCATTTAATTATACTAAATATATTGCCATACACTGCTTTTCATCAGGGCAAAAAATACACTTGTTCCCAGAATAGAAAGAAACTGAAGTACAAAAAGGAACCATTTACTTGTTTCAAAAACTGACGAGCTTTCATCAGGATCTAGACAACTCAAACACCTATGGCGTTGAAGGCTTAAGCCTATAGCAAGAGAGATAACCAACTATGGGAGAGGTGATGATGTGAGAGTGGGACTGTGAGGCAAGCTTGAGGAAAGGTAACAGAGGAGCACAATGGTGGAAGAAAGCAAAGCCCCACAAAAACTGGTGGGCAGAGGGAAGGACACACACTCTTAAGATGGGACACCCTACGGCAAGTCTGAGACTGGGATGCAGTCACCAGGGCCCACCTACAGCTGGTAGACAGGATTGCTTTTCCCCTCTGGAGATGAGGAAAGACTTATAGTTTATTTGAACCTGGTCAACCTGGCGATAGCCTATGTTCTGATTTCCTCAGCCCTCCAGACAGGTAGGCAGGCACTTGAGCTGTCTGTTGCCATCGATACCTTCAACTCTCTATCTCTTCCCTCTTGCTCATGGGCTACCTTTCTCTGCCTTATCAACCTGCTCTACAATTGATTAAATTTCTGGAATCCTGTACATTACAGGATATGCTTAACTTTTTCTTTTTTTGGGGGGGGGGACAGTCGTGGGGCTTGAATTCTGGGCCTGGCCAGTGTCCCTCAGCTCTTCAGCTCAAGGCTAGCACTTGAACCACAGTGCCGCTTACAGTTTTCTGGTGGTTAATTAGAGATTGGTTAATTGGACTTTCCTGCCCTGGCTGGCTTTGAACCGTGATCCTCAGATCTCAGCATCCTGAGTAGCTATGATTATAGGCGTGTGCCACCTGTACCCAGCTTAACTAACTTTTAAAATGCTTTCAACTGTGCTACTGTACCTTAACAGTACCTCCCATTCCTGCAGAAAACCTGTGAATAACTAAAATAAGGTGATGGAAAAGGGGAAAAAAGGCTTTCCCCCCAATAAATGAAAGTAAGCTCATAGCACACTATCTATCTGAGCTATTTTTCTTCCTCTAGAGTAGGATTCTTAGTAGGCGTAATGAACAGGTCTCTGTGTGTTTTTCTGGAGAGACATGTCATTAGATTCTTGAAGAAATCACATTTTTTTGTTTTTGTTCCAGTCCTGAGGCTTGAACTCGGGGCCTAGGTGATGCTCCTGAGCTTTTCTGATCAATGCTAGCACTCTACCACTTGAGCCATAGTTACTCCAGCTTTTTTGGTGGTTAGTAGGAGATAAGAGTCTCATGGACTCTCCTGCCTGAGCTGGCTACAAACAGTGATCTGATCTCAGCCTCCTGAGTAGTTAGGATTACAAATGTGAGCCAGCAGCACCCAGCAAAGGATCACACTTCAGAGGCTTAGGTTTTAAGAGGCTTGAAAACCCTGATTTACATGTCATGTCTTCTAATACCTGTCTTCTCAATGATCTATTTCTGCAGTAGAGCCAGGCTGGCTCTACATGTCTGTAATCCTAGTTACTAAGGAGGCTGAGATCAGAGGATTATGGTTCAAAGACAGCCCTGGCAAGAAAGTTATGAGATTCTTATCTCACCACTACACTCTTATTAACCACCAGAAAACCAGAAATGGAGCTGTAGCTCAAAGTGGTAGAGTATTAGCCTTGAGCAAAAGAACTCAGGGACAATTGCCCTGACCCCAAGTTCAAGTACCAGGATGAGGAGGGAGGAAGGGAGGGAGAGAAGAAGGGAAGGAAGGAAGGAAGGAAGGAAGGAAGGAAGGAAGGAAGGGAGGAAGGAAGGAAGGAAGGAAAAGTAAAAGTAAAACTAAAGGAAGGGTGGGTGGTAAGCAAAAGGCTGAACAACTAAACAGTAGAACAAAAAACCAGATCTTCCAGGAAGAAGAAACAAAAAACATACTGATAAGTCTCCTGCCCACCCAATGTCCTTGCAATTCGCATGCTGACTCTGCTTTAAATGAAAGGTAATGTGTTTTTATCTGGGGCACTTCTATCCAGGAGCTTTTGTGGCTAAACCAAAACCTGACAATGATTTAAATGCTAGTTTCCCAAGGTCAAGAATGTCTATTAGAAATGTCCAGATTCTGATCCTGTTAGAGGATTTAGACAAATCTCAAATAGTCTCTTACATTGTTTTTATTTTCCAAGATGGGATATGAACAAGCTGGAAGCCTAACAACATTAATCCAAAACAAAGCAAAAACAGTATCTTACCTAGTGGTCCTTCTCCTGCTGATTCCAAGACCTGAGCAGCTTCCTGAGACACAACAGCAATGGCTCCAACCATGGGTTCATGATTAACATCACCATTGGGAGTACCATCAGGGATTATAACTAAGCCATGTTTCTGTGGGGAAGAAAACAATCATCAGCAAAGATGGTCCACACTGAAGCAGCAAGCTCTGAGAGATAACGCTGTAAGAATGTATGAGTGACATAGGTAAAACCTAGTTAGAATTAGTTACATGGATTATGCCTCTGTAGAGGAAATGATTTATTCCTCTGAATTGAAACTCCTTTTGCATTCAGGTGAACAAAGATATTGGGAAGGAGGGAAAGAAAACAGCATAGCAGTGAGAGCCGGAGCCCTAGGCCCGAGTTAAACATACCTCTGTTGTGTTCGCTGTCTTCTGCAAGTCAGCAAGCTCCTCTCTAAGCACATCTCGCTCATTCCTAAGGCAGGCAATATGTTCTCTCTGTTTCTCTAGGGCCTGGTTTTAGGCAAGGTAGCAATGGAAAGAATAGCATAGATAAAGAGCAAGTGAAAGGTAACTAATTCAAATAAGCAAAGTTAAAGGCCTATGAAGCAAAAGAGCAGTTAAGGAGTTTGGGAACAAGCAGACAGAGGAAGAATAGTGTCCAGATACAAAGTTTCCACAGAGTCCTAGTAGAAACTAGTTCTCATGCATAAATTTGGCAAAACATGCTTCTCACATCAAACATCAAAACAAATCTTTCTTTTACAGTCAATGGTCAAGAAAACAAGAAACAGAAGATGAAGACAGCAGCACAAGTTAAATTTTCCTTACTGACCTCCTCGGTACATTTTCATTTGGTAAAGTAATACTTCTTATGTTTAATTAAAACAGTTTATATTTTTTTTAAATACTGTTTTTTTTAACTAAAAACATGGCTTGAAAAACAATTGGTATATGTAACTTATTTGACTTAAAAAATTAGCCATGTGATCTTTATGACAAAACATTCAAAAGGATTCTAAAAGATCTTTTTTTCTGTTAATTTAACAAGTACAAATAAGACTCTGGTTTTCTGAATACTTTCAAAATATAAAAAACAAGGCTGGCAGTGGTGGCTCATGCCTGTAATCCTAGCTACTCAGGAGGCTGAGATCTGAGGATAACGTTGCAAAGCCAGCCCAGCCAGAAAAGTCTGAGACTCTTATCTCCAATAAACCACTAGAAAACCAGAAGTGGCACTGTGGTTCAAGGTAGAGCACTCTCCTTGAGCTGAAGAGTGCAGGGACAACAGGCACCCAGGTCCAGAGTTCAAGTCCCATGACCAACAACAACAACAAAAAAAAAAAAACAGGGACAGTGTCTAGGCCCTGAGTTCAAGCCCCACAACCAAACAAAAAACATTATTTAAAAAAAAAAAGCAATGTATGGCAGAGTAGGAGTTTCAAAATCAAGCTTAGAGGTTCTGGCACATACCTAAGCCTCAATCTTCTCATGTGAAAATAGGAAGGGATAATTGCAGTTCCCACACCCCCCAGGTGGAGGCTCAGTGGCAGTGTCAGACAACAGAGGTTCAGGAAAAGCAGTCTTATGTCTTTACTGAGCATTTCCCACTTTTTCTTAAATCATAACTGTCAACTTGGGAGGGTAGTGCAGAAGCAGGAACATAGTTATATTACGTAATAAAATAAATCAAACTTTAAAGCACTACTATAATAAGTAGTATGTACCAGTTGAGCTACTTAAAAAAGGCTTTCTCTACATATTGTTTCTCTACATATTTTTCTAACAGCATTCCCATAACCCAAAAAAATTACAACAGGTAACTTTTACTGCAATTTGTGAACTCTGAAAGTGGGTTAACTGCTTAGTTATTGATGGCCGCATATTGGGCAACTTTAAAATTTCATTACAATCCTATTTTGCAACCAAATTGTTAATAAGCAATGGTCAGCACCACACGATGGTAGCCACTACCATTACATATCAGAACAAAAGTTACTAATTTATATAATTTCCCCATTATACATTATTTTATATGTAAAATGTCTCCCTTACATATTCTGAAACATACTATTTGTCTTAGCCTCATTTTAAAGATCAGAAAATTAAGGCCCACAGAAAGGTGGTTTATTTTATTTTTGTCCAAATCACAATAAGTAGCAAGGCCTGAAAATGAATATCACAACCTAGACAGCATTCTGTTCATGTAATGTCTGAAAAAGAAGTCTATAGAGTAAGTCTTCTCTTTACTTATCCAAATTGCAGTATCAATATCTAATTTCCTTTCCACAAACTTTGGAAATTCAAAAGAAGTGGTGTGTCTCAAGTTAGTCTGCAAATTAATCACTTTGAGTTTCTAGCACCACAGGGCCTATAACATTTGAAGCTAGTACTGACATTCTATTTCATTAATAACAAATGAAACATTAAAAGAATTAAGCTATATTTGCAAGCAACACCATCCTTTTAACTGATGTTGGGTTAGAAATCTTGGTTACAGGTATATCTACATGCATACATGTGCCATGCATCACGACATATAACTGAGTGATCACCTTTACAACATGCTCCACAGGAATACTAATAAACAGAAAAGACCTCTTAGGAACAGACCAATTTGAAACTAGGAATTCTAGCAAATGTTTGACATTTGCTCCTCATTCCACATTTATAGTACTAGGTTTTATTTTTTTACAGTTTTTAATTTTATCTTCTCACAATTATATATGGGAAAATAAAATACATATTTTATATTTTCCCATTTGACCAAAAACTTCAGAAACTACTGAAATACCTTATATTTAAACCAAATATAGCCATGCTGAATCTGAAATCCTCTGTATTACCTGACCATATAATCACCATCCTTGGGTTTCCATGTACCAATAATTGTTTCCACAGATTTTTTTTTTAGAGTAAAAGTATACATTTGTAGAAATATAAACAATTCCTTTTTCCTGAGCTAACCTCAAATTGTACAATCAAGAAGCCAAATACGGCTGGGCATGGTGGCTCACCCCTGTTACTCTAGTAAGAAGCAGATTTCAGAAGGATCAGGGCTGTTCTCAAGAACAGATAAAAAGTTTCTAAGACCTCCTCCCCACCATAAAGCTGGACTCAGTAGCACAATTCTGTCAAGAAACACCAAGCATAAATACCAGACCATATTTTTAAAAATAACTAAAGCAAAAAAATAAAAGGTAAAGCAAAAGGGCTGGGGAGATAGTTCAAATAGAGTACCTGCCTAGCAAGCACAAGGCTGAGTTCAAATCCCATACTGCTTCCCCGCCAAACATATTAGGCTGAACTACTGGGCTGAACTTTTGAGTAACAGATGCAATTGCACTATAGCATAAACAGATCTAGCCAGAATGGAGATCTTGGCCTTTGTATATACCTATGTTACACATGGGCACTTGAGAAGAATAGCAGTGGAACCAAAAGTAAAATGACTAATCTCAATGAAAAAGAATGGGAAAAAGTTCTACCTGGGTAATATTGACATGTTTCTTCATTAAGTTACTAATATAATTCTTGAAAATGAAGCTTGTGATACATCAGGTATCTCTCGACTTAAAAGTTGAGAGAAGAGCTGGGAACATAGCTTAGTGGTAGAGTGCTTGCCTAGCATGCATGAAGCCTTGAGCTCAATTCCTCAGTACCACATAAACAGAAAAGGCCAGAAGTGGCACTGTGGCTCCAGTAGTAGAGTGCTAGCCTTGAACACAGAGAATCAGGGACAGTGGTCAGGTCCTGAGTTCAAGCCCCAGGATTGGCAAAAAAAAACAAAAAAACAACAAAAATCAAGAGCCGCTACCAGATATTGGGGCACTTTTCTGTAATCACAGCACTTGGGAGGTGGAGGCCGGAGGATTTAACTTGGCCTATGCTAAAAAGCAAGATCTTGACTCAAAAAAAAAAAGTCTGTCATTCAGTCTGTCATATGCTGCACAAAAAAAGAAATACTGTTTGATTCCATTAATATCAGATACCTAGAATAATTAGACACATCGATTTAGACAGAAGAAAGAAGGCTGCCGGGGTAGGAAATGAGGTGGGTAACATGCTCAGTGGGTATAGAGTATTAACTAGAAATGAAAACATCCTAAGATGGATGGTGATGGTAACAGCTAGTACAGCAATGGGAACTGACTTAACTCCATTAACTGTGCCCTTAAAATAGCTACAATAATGAACTGTATTTGTATTTTAACTTTATTGTGTGTGTGCTGGTCCAGGAGTTTGAACTCAAGGGCCTGGGACCATCCCTGAGCCTTTTTTTCCCCTCCCTCAAGGTTAGTGCTCTACCAACTTGAGCCACAGTTATACTTCTAGCTTTTGGGTGGAGACTTTCCTTTCCTAGGCTGGTTGCAAACTAAGATCCTCAGATCTCAACCTTCTGAATTGCTACAATTACAGTCATGAGCCACAGATTCTTGGCTATAACATTTTTTAAATGGTAAAATTATAAAACCAGACGAGTATGGTTGGACATGTTGTCTTATGCTTACAATATTAGCTACTCATGGGTTGGGAAGGTGGCTCAGTGGTAGAGCGCTTGCCTTGCATGCATGAGGCCCTGGGTTCAATTCCTCAGCACCACATAAGCAGAAAAAGCCAGAAGTGGCGCTGTGGCTCAAGTACCTAGAGCACTAGCCTTGAGCTGAAGAGCTGAGGGACAGTGTCCAGGCCCAGAGTTCAGGCCCCACAACTGGCAAAAAAAAAAAAAAAAAATTAGCTACTCAGGATGCTGAGATTAGGAAGATTACAGTTAAACTTAACCTAGGCAAAAAGTTCGTTTTTTTTTTTTTTTTTTTTTTGGGGGGGGGGGGGTCCGGTCGTGGGGCCTGGCCTCTGGGCCTGGGCGCTGTCCCTCAGCTCTTCAGCTCAAGGCTAGAGCTCTACCACCTGAGCCACAGCGCCACTTCCGGCTTTTTTTCTTTTTGCTTATGTGGTGCTGAGGAATCGAACCCAGGGCTTCAAGCATGCAAGGCAAGCGTTCTACCACTGAGCCATCTTCCCAGCCCATAGGCAAAAAGTTCTTGAACTCCCATCTTAAGCAAAAAGACTGAGTGTAGTGGTATTCTCCGTCATTTCAGACACAGGAAGCATAAACAGGGTGATCATGTCATCTAAGCCAGCGGGGGTATAAATGTGAGATGACCAACTAAAAAGGGCAAGGGCTGTGATTCAATTGGGGGAATGCCTGAGTTGAAACTTTATGCCACCAGAGAGAGTAAAGAGGAAGAGGGAAAGACGAGAGAGGGAAAGGGATGGACAGAGGAGGAAGGGGAGGGGAGGGGAACAGAGAAGGATGGAGGGAGGAGAAAGAGGAGGAGGGGCAAGAGAGTAAGGAGAAAGGGAGGGGGGGAGAAGAAAGAGGGAGAAAGAAGGGGGAAGGAGAGAAAGGGGAGAATGGAGAGAAAGGAGGGAAGGAGAAGCGAGGGAAGAGAGAGAAAGGAGGAAGGAAGGGAAGGAGGGAGGAGAGAGGATGAGAGACGGGGAGAGAGAGGAGACAGGGGGATGGGGAAAAATTCCTTATGGTGATAGAAATGTTCTATATATTGACTGTATCACATACAGCATGTACAGTGTCCTGGTTTAATACAGTTACAGCTAGGCTAAGACAATCCGTTTGAAATATAGAGACAACTATACAAATTAGAAACCCTGGACCCACAGATTTGTGCCGAGGGAAATTATCTAAGGTCCTACAAAAAGCTCATTCTAGATAGTGATTAAATTTTTAACTATACCTTGCTTATTTCATTGGACACATTTTTCATTTTAAGATTTCCAAGTAAAAAAATCGAATAAAACCAGTTATTCACAATTATGATTAAAAGACTTAATGAAGTTGTTAAATTATCTCCCAGAGAGAAGCATCAGAAAATTATGCAAAATTACCTTTGGTTCTTTAATTTTTTGGTCTATCTTGGAAGCAATGGGGTCTCCTGATATTTTAGTAATGGGGGTTTATAGGATAGAAAATATTAGAGCTAGGCGCCAGTGGCTCACGCCTGTAATCCTAGCTTCTCAGGAAGCTGAGATCTGAGGATCACGGTTCAAAGCCAGCCCGGGCAGGAAAGTCTATGAGACTCTTATCTCCAATAAACTACCAGAAAACCAGAAGTAGTGCTGTGGCTCAAGTGGTAGAGCGCTAGCTTTGAGCTGAAGAGCTGAGGGCCAGTGCCCAGGCCCAGAGTTCAAGCCTCATGACCGACTAAACAAATAAAATAAATAAATAAATAAATAAGGTAATAGACATTGCTGACAGCATGGGCTTTGCAACATTGCTTATACTGGAGGATATGACTTAGGGTTCACATTCAGCCATCTATCTCTCACAGGTGGTCTGAGGGAGCTTTGCCTGTAATTCTCTACTCCACACAACATTGAACCAAATAAGCCACACCCCTTCCCTGATAGTGTCTTGGTAGCTTCATCTGAGTGGTTCCCCTACTATGGAAAAGAGCTCATGCCAAGAGAAGGGACTGCCAGCCACAGGCCACTTAAGTTGAATTGGTGGATATTTTTCAGCTTCCAGTTTACTTGGAATCTACCTGCAAGGCTAAGCAAAATAGCAATAGAATTTGTCCTTATCTAGGCCCCTGATTTGAGGAGTCTGGAGTTGTAATTAGATTACAAAACAATTTGGAAACTTAGTAGTCTTCCTTTCCTAACCACTTCCATAATTAACTGATTTTTAATCCCTTCACCAAGGATTCTCAGGATGCTAATAACACTTTCTCCATCTCTATATTCATAATTTTCTTGCTTTTTATCCAAATTCTTATAAGAATATCAAACCCAAAGAGTTTGAATTAGATGCCTGAAGCTGCTTTTTTAAGTCAATATCATAAAAAACAACTTCTTTTAAAAGTTCCTACTTGTAGGTTTCATAAGCCCTCTCAGATAGAAAGAAAAACTATTTCCCAGCATGATGTCTGTTTTCCCATCAAAGTATCTTTGCTTTTGGTCATATTTATATTGTATACTCAAGAACAAATTTTTGGGAATCTGTGAGTCAAATTTTATTGGTCTATTCCTTATTCCTCATGAATAAGCTTCAAACAAAAGCTCAATTTATCTCATACCCCAATTTTTTTATCTTTCCAAAGAAGTGTCTCCTGGAGGTCAAACACCTCTTTTGTCATGGTGTCTATTTTCTGCTGCATATGCTGATTCTCCTGCAGAAGACGGGAGGAAAAGTAATTGAAAGCAAAAGAAAACACGGAGGAAGTTAGAGGGAGGAAAACAGAGCAAAAATAAAGGTGATAAACTCTTAAAAAAAGGAAAAATCATTGACAAACAGAAAGGATAAGAGTGGTATGCTAAAGGAAAGATATTATCTATTTGAAACTTCTTCACTTGCCCCAGCATAAAAGTAGTCAAAAGTGGGCCAGGAGACATGGTGCATTTGCAGAATGTGTGCTAGGTATATGAAAAGGCCTTGAATTTGATCCTCAGCATCACAACAAAATTAAAAAAAAAAAACTAAAAAGGAGGTAAGAGAGGAGGGGAAGAAAGGGAGAAAGGGAGAAAGGGAGAAAGGGAGGAGTAGAAGGGAGGAGAGGGCAGGGCAGAAAGTTGGGAATAAATGATTGCTCCAATCACAGTTATGTGGCAACAAGGCAGCCAGATAACTTTGTTTTCTTTCCTTTTTATGTCTGACACCAGGTCTTGAATTAGGTACCTGAAACTTCTGCTCACTGGCTGAACCTTGTCTCCAACCCAATGGTTGATTTTTTTTTTTCTTTCTAAATATATAAACAAATGATCTTTTACCACAGTGAAGTAGTAATAGTTTTTATTTCTCTAAATCAGAAATAAAATAGATACAGCTCAGCTTGAGAACTTTTGATTTTGTTAACAGAAGCAAGAACATCATGAATTATAAAGGAAACATCACTTTTTAGAAAAACCAGAACTTAACTTTCAGTAATTCTCAACTCTTCTGATGAAGTAATGCTGATTAATTTATACCTGTGTAATAGGTTCCCTCCCAATACATTACTTTGTCTGCCTTCCCACACAAATCTTCTAGAGACCAAAAGCATTACTTGTCACACTCAAGGTTTTACAGATAATAACATCTGAAAAGATATTCGTTGCAAATTCAGGCCAAAAAAGGCCTAAAACCACAGAAACCACAGTGACAAATTATAGAAAACAGGGCTGGGAATGTGGCTTAGTGGGAGAGTGCTTGCCTAGCCTGCATGAAGCCCTGGGTTCAATTCCTCCGTACCACATAAACATAAATAGCCAGAAGTGGTGCTATGGCTCAAATGGTAGAGTGCTAGCCTTGAGCACAGAGAGGCTCAGGGACAGGCCACGCCCCATGATTGGCAAAAAAGAAAAATAAATTATAGAAAACAACATTATTATCCTCTAAATGTAATATGCAATTAAAAACAGCTAACCAGCTTGAAATAAGCTATTGAATTTGAGAAGCAGCTCCCAGAGCATTTTTATTATTTTTGAAATCATAAAAGTGGGAAGGTATATACCTTAATTCTGATTGGAAATTGACACAAAAAAAATTAAAGGACAAAAAAAATTATTTCACATTGTTATTAAATAGCAACAGAATACAGAATTTATCTGGATAATATGCTCCCAAACAACATGCAAAAACTAGGAGAACTAATTCATTTATAATCTCGCAAATCCATAATCTTATCTATATCTGCATTTAGAATCCACAAGTTGTAGCTATATTCCTTTTAAAAATGGCACAAATGGTTGGGCATGGTATAGTTCATGCCTGTTATCTTAGCTACTCAGGGGGCAGAGACTGTAGTTCCAAACCAATTCAGGCAAGATGTTTACAAGACCCCATATTTCAACAATAAAGTATGGGTATAGTGGTACACATCTGTTACCCCAGCTACACTAGAAATATAAATAGGAAGATCATGGTACAGGTCCAACCAAAATATATAAAATAAAGCAAAAAGGGTTGAAGGCATGACTCACATGATACAGCACCTGCTTAGAAAGCACAGGCTGAGTTCAAACCTTAGTACTGCCAAAAAAAACAAAGAGGAAGAAGAAGAGGAGAAAAATCCACAAAAGAAGATGGCCTTCAATTTCTTTTCCTCTACTAAGTAATTCTCAAAGTCATTTACAGGCACAGATTAAGGAAAGTCTGAGGGGAAAGAAAGAAAGAGGAAGAGAAGGGAATAGGATGGAGAGAAGGAAAGCCAAGAGTCTGAATCACCAGAAATGAGAACAAGTGTAGTAAGTGTGGTATCTCTCCTGGATAACTAAGAGCTGATCTTCCTGATATTACTATCCTATAATCAATATTAAATACTGGGCAGGATACCCCTGGACCTCTTATCTATAAAACACTTCAAGAGGAAAAGCCACATTTAAAGAACACATACACAGAAAGTGTTAAGTCTGAAAGGACAAGTGTTTTCAAAGTTCTTGCTGGACTGTGCCTCTACCTACTAAGATGTTGCCAATATTGTCCCACATGGAGTTCCTCCATAGTAGAAACTTGCAACTTCTATATACAAGGGATGGACCTGGACAATTTCTTCTTTTATAGATTAGCTACCTCAGAAATGTTTCTTTTTTGGAAGAATGTGTGTGTGTGCGTGTGTACATGCATGTGTTTATACCACTATCACAGTTTTAACTCAGGATCTCTCCCTTGACTTCAGAAATGTTTTTGCCTGAGAAGATCAGAATTCTTACTTCTCCAGAATTCTCCCCAAAAACAGAATTCATTAGGTTCTAAAGAATGCTTTTCTGGCATTTTCCATTTGTCTAAATTTTAAGATTTCTTTTGGAAAGAGTGAGCTTATTTCTACTATTAAAGGAAGAACTGTTCATAGGGTTTATAAGTATAAATTTTCATTTTTATTTTACTTATTCATTTTTTTTTTGTCGGTTGTGGGGCCTGAACGCTGGGCCTGGGTGCTATCCTTCAGCTGTTCAGCTCAAGGCAAGCGCTCTACCACTTGAGCCACAGCACCACCTCTGGCTTTGTATAAGTATGAATTTTTAAAATCTGACTTTAGATTTGTTGGAAAAATTTTAGGAGGCAGCCAAATGTGAACATAAGCAATCTTTGCAGCACTTTACCTTTCTTCTCCTAAGACATATGCCTTCATCCTATCCAACTAATTTATTTTCAGAACTAAGTATTCCTTCAGTTCACATACCTCAATAAGTTCGTCTCTTTGCCGAAGGCCTTCTTTAAGTTCATCCATCTTGTGCTGCAGCACACTACACATGTGTTTCTGCCTTTCCAACTCCTGTTAAAGAAATGACATCTTTTATACAGTTCACAGCATACAACAAATTTGAGTATTTGCAATAAAACACAGAGATCAAGAATGACTTTCAGAAATATGCCTAGACTGCTGACTTAGAATAACCTAAAACTAAACATCCAATAGGAAGATTAAAAAATTTTATATAAAGTTTTCGTAGGGAACCAGTGGCTCATGCCTGTAATCCTAGCTACTCAGGAGGCTGAGATCTGAGATCACAGCTCAAAGCCAGCCTGGGCAGGAAAGTCTGTAGGACTCTTATCTCCAATAAACGACCAGAAAACCAGAAGTAGTGCTGTGGCTCAAGTGGTAGAGCATTCACCTTGAGCCGAAGAGCTGAGGGACAGCACTCAGGCCCAGAGTTCAAGCTCCATGACCAAAAACAAAACAAAAAACAAAAAAGCTTTAAAGGTTTCATCTCATATGGTGAAGATAAGAAACAGCAAGGGAAGGGAAAACAAACTCTACAGGCACTTAAAAAAAAAAAGAGTAGCCAAAGAGTAGGGGGAGGTATTTGAAATGACTCAAAACTCTACAAGCAAGACAAAGAATTGAGGCAATAGTTAAACTACATAAAAATTAAAGCTTTTGAATAGCAAAAGACAGCACAAAGTAAAAATAGAGATGACAATTTGCTAAAAGTTTAAATTTATTTTCATAAACAAAAGGTCACTACTTATCCATATGGAGAATCCTTTAAAATTGGAAACAAAAAAAAAATGTGCTACATGAAAAAACCACCTAAAGAAATAGACAGTTAACAGAAAAATGTAATGAAAAATGTAATGGTTACTTGCAAGGTAGGATCTTGTTTTATGCCTGGGCCAGCCTGAGCTATGTATGACCTTCCCACTGTGTTTTGCTGTGTTGCTGGGAATGACAGCTATGAACTACTGCACATAACCATTGTGCCTCTCCAGTATCTGAAAACATAGGCACATGAGACCAGGATTGGCCACTGGTTGAGAAGGAATCTCATAAACTTTTAAGTACAGTTTGGCCTTGAACTGTGATACTCTCATATCCACCTGCCAAGTAGCTAGAATTTATTGTTAAAAGTACTTTTAAGGGGGAAGGGAAAAAACAAATTGTTTAAATAGGGATACAGGTGGACCCATTGCAACAATAAGACATACAAGTCGTATGTTGAAAACAAACTTTACAACTTTGGTGGGGGGAGGGAGGAGGAGGGTTGAGTGGGGGAGGATGGAAACAAAGGAGGAGGCTACAATGCTTGATAAGAAATGTACTCATTATCTTGCCCATGTAATTGTAACCCCTCTGTACAGTATTTTCACAATAAAAAAAAACAAATTATTTTAATGTTTATGAATTGAAATTAGAACAACAAAGCGTCCACAAGATGACAGTGATTAACTATGCAGTGGTTAAAAGAAATGACAAAAGGGGCTGGGACGGTGGCTCAGTGGTAGAGCGCTTGCCTCCATGCATGAGGCCCTGGGTTCGATTCCTCAGCACCACGTAAGCAAAAAGAAAAAAGCTGGAAGTGGTGGTGTGGCTCAAGTGGTAGAGCGCTAGCCTTGAGCTGAAGAGCTGAGAGACAGCGCCCAGACCCAGAGTTCAGGCCCCACGACTGGACCCAAAAAAAAAAAAAAGAAATGACAAAAATGTCTTACATCATATGTACTATACAATCTGAAGATAATAAAAATCAAGGTGGAGAGCTGGGTGCCAGCCTGGGCAAGAAACTCTGTGAGATTCCTGTCTCCAATAAACTACTCAAAAAAGCTGGAAGTAGTGATGTGGCTCAAATGAAAGAACACTTGCCTTAAGTGAAAGCAGCTCAGGGACAGCACCAAACCCTGAGTTCAAGCCCCAGGACTACTATTTTCTAAGAAAGAAGAGCTATAAATACTATAGATGTACATTAAGTGCTCTCTACATGTTAATTAAGATGGCTAATATATCTTCTTAGATTTAAAAAATAGAAAAAAAAATATAGCCAGACCCACAGAAATAAAGGCTGCATGGTTTCCCTCATTTGTGGTAGATGAAATGTACCTATACACTAAAACGTTAGGTGGTAATCAAATTGTTACAAATGAATTAACTGAAGTATAATAGACTATGGAAAGCTCAAATAGTATCATCCTTTAGAAGGACTAGGTTAAAGCTCAACAAAATCAACATCAAGAAATGCGTAGATGCAAGAAGGGGAGTGGGGACAAGGAGAGAGGGGCAGATAAATGAAGGGAAGAGGTGGGGAAGAATTCACAAAATTGAGAAAAGTAATGGAAGGAGAGGGTCAAAGGAGTGTGAGAATATTGAAGGGGGTGACATTGGTCAATATGTACTATATTCATAAACTGCTTTGGTAAATGACATCTTTGTACAACTAAAAGATCATTTTCAGAAGAAAGGAAGAAATAAGGATTTTTCATATATTTCTCTGCTGATTTAAGATCTACCTATTTTACATAATTTTAAGACAAAGTTAGATTTTAAAACAAATCTAATGTCTATCAAAAGAAAGGACTGGGTGCCAGTGGCTCACGCCTGCAATCCTAACTACTTAGGAAGTTGAGGATCGCTGTTCAAAACCAGCCTGGGCAGGAAAGTCTGTGAGACTCTTATCTCCAATTAACCACCAGAAAAACAAATGTGGTGCTGTGGCTCAAAGTGGTAGAGCACTCGCCTTGAGCTGAGGAGCTGAGGGACAGTGCGCAGGTCCAGAGTTCAAGCCCCACAACAACAACAACAACAACAAAAGGCCTCTTGAGTGAGTTCAAGTCCAGCTAGGGCTATAGAATGAGAACCTACATTTAAAATAAAATTAAAAAAAAAAAGAATGGAGTGCAGAGTATGATGGTACACACCTGTAATCCTAGCTCTCTGAAGACTAAAGCCCAAGTGAGATACACAACAAGAGACTCTCAACAAAACAAATAGCCATGTGGCTTCTACCTGTGATCCTAGCTATTTGGGAAGTTGAGATGAAAAAGATTTTGGGTTGAAACCAGCCTGGGCATACATATGAGACACTTCTTCAACCCATGTCTGTGCACACTGGTGCAAATCTATCATTCCAGTTACAAAGGAAGCTGAGAGGGAGACAATCATGGTTCCACGCCAACCTGAGCAGAAATGTCTGTGAGATTCTATCTCAGTGGAAGAAGCTGGCCATGTCATCCCAGCTACTGCAGGAAGTATAAAATAGTCAGATCATTATCCAAACATGGGCCTTGGCAAAAAGCTAGATCTTATCTCAAAACAACCACTGCAAAGGGCTTGAAAAAGAACCACTGCAAAAAGGGCTGGCTCAGCAATGGAGCACCACCTAACATGCCCAACAAGCCCAAGGCCCTAAACTAAAACAAGGAAAAAATAGTGAAGAAAATGGAGTATTGTATATTGAAATATTATTCAGCCTTAGACAGGAAAGAATTCTTGTCACATGCTTCCCCGTGGATGACCATGCTTAAGGATATTATGCTAAGTAAAATGAGCCAGTGACAAAATGAAAATATTATGTAATTCTACTTATTAAGTACTTGTAGTAGACAAATTCAGACAAAAAGTAGAATATCTAGAACAGGGTACTGGGAAGAAGGAAAGAGACAAACAGTGAACATTTTAATAGAAACTAGTTTTCATTTTGTTTTAGTTTTTTGGTCCCAGTCCTAGGGCTTCAATTCAGGGCCTGGGTACCGTCCTTGAGCTTCTTTGCTCAAGGCTTGTGCGATGCCACATGAGCAACAGTTCCACTTCCAGCTTTTCGGTGGTAAATTGGAGATTAAGAGTCTCATGGACTTTCCTGCCTGGGCTGGCTTTGAACTATGATCCTCAGATCTCATTCTCCTTAGTACCTAGGATTATAGGCATACATCACCAGTGCACAGCTTAAAGCTTCGTTTTGCAAAATAAAAAGTTCTAGAGATTTGATGCAAAATAACACAAAGACACAGATTATCACTACTGAACTGTTCCCTTTAAAATGTAAATTTTATATTGTACAATTTTTACCACAATAAAAAATAAAAACAAAAAATTTAAAAGTAATTCCTACATATTGGAGATAAAATGCAGTGAAGCTAGCTATATATCCAGTTAGTGGCATAAACACAAAGAAACTATTTCAAGTAACTTTTTTAAACAATAGTTTGGCTATACAGAGCCAGTGGTGAAAGAAAAAAATAAGCCAAACCAAACCCTTTCAACTATGTTCAGTAATTATATCGATGCCAATCCTGGTATTGTTATTTTAAGTGCTGTAGAAAAAAGAAGTGAGAATAGAATGTAATTGCTATCATCCCTACTGACTCTGAGAACTAAGAATTACAGTGTGGGGAAAAAAGATACAGATTTAACACAGAGGAGGTTAAGTAAAATCCCTAGAGTCCTAACAGGAACTGCAACTATCATAATACTTTGTCATTAAAAATATGTGTTTCCTAGGTATATCCACTGAAAAGATCTATAACATGACCAACTCAGCAACAAAGAACATCCCTGGCACACACAATGCCTTACTAAGAGAAAGGGCTTCCTTGTACAAATGACCAATTAAAGGTCTGAAGCAGAAAATTTCCTTCTGTAAGAAAGCTATTAATTACTGGTTCAAAATAATTGAGAACCATCCTAAAGAGGCTCAAATTTGACAGATATGAGACAATTTGAGCATTAAAAATGCACTGAACCTGTGGGTTGGGATGAAAGAGGGAAACTGAGGGAGAACAACAGAAGGTATGGCATTGATCAAGATGCACTGTACTCATTACCTGACACATGGATTCAAACATTTGGTGTTTCAGCACATTTTAAAAATTATTACTACTAAGGAGTTGTACAAAGAGGCTACAATTCCATGTATGTATAAGAGAATAAAATAATTAGTCATTATGAAAGGATACTAAACAACTCCTTATTTTGAAACTTAAAATCAAAGAATCAAGTCTTTATTTTGCCTTTTCTATGTAAACTATGTGAGTAATAAGAGATGAGGAAGTTTCTCAATAAAGATGGACTAAAAAAACAAAGCATAGGAAGGTAAGAAAGACAACCTAGAAGATGGAAAAATACTGTAAATTATGTATTTAATAAGGGACTTACATATAGAATATATAGTCTTACTACTCAATAATGAAGACAAATAATCCAATTAATAATAGGCAAAAGATCCAAATAGATGTTGCACAAATTTTACCCAAAAGCCCAAAAGATACTCAAAATCATTAGTTTATCAGTAAGATGCAAATCAAAACCATATCCACTAGAATGAGTAGAATTAAGTGTGGAGAAATCAGAACCCACATACACTACTAGTAACAAAGTTAAACATGTGACCTAAACACAATCTAAACCTTAAACATCTGACCTAAACCTAACATGTGTTAAACATATGAACTTGTAACAAGTACATACTTAAGAAAAAGGACAACACTGTATTTATATTAAAAAATTGTGCACCTGTTTATGGCAATATTCATAGTAGCCAAAAGGAAGACATAAACCAGATGCCCATCAGTACAAATATGGAGATCTAAACCATAGTATATTAATACATTACAAGAGGGAATGTAGTACTGATAGTGCGAGCACATTATGAACCTTGAAATCACTACGTTAAGTGAAACACAGTGATCACAAAAGACTACATATAATTCCATTGATACGGATGTCTAGAATAAGGAAATCTACTCAGTCACAATACATCAGTGGTTACTTGTGAATAAGAGACAAAAGTATAGGAAGATGCTAGCTAAAGATTATTTGGTTTCCCTTCTGAGGTAAGGAAAATATTCTAAAGGTGTCTGTGGTGGTGAAAGATGGGCACTTCAGTGAATATGCTAAAACTAAATGGCTAAGTTGTATGATATATAACTGCATCTTAATAAACACTTTAAGATATTAAAATAAGGTTAAATAAATCAGTAATAGTAAAAATCAGAACATCCTATTCTGTGATCTCTAACCAATTACAGGACCTATCCAGCTACTGAAACAAAGAAATGCCAGGCACATGAGCCTCTCAAAAGAAGACAGCACCTCATAAGCAGACTTGCCCAAAAGGCTACAGTTACATTTGATCAAACCTCTGTACATGATAGCCTATTTGCAGCAACTAAAGACGACAAAGGAACATCAGAAAGATGTCATGAGGATGAAAATAACAAAATCTCTAAGACTGCATACCTGTTGATACAAGTAATTCAGAATCATTAATACATATAAATCGCAAGACAAAAAAGTACCTGTCAATTGAGAGGTCTTAAAAGACATAGCATCTAATCTCAAAGTAGGGAATTTACCTGATTTGATTATTTATTTGATACATACTTATACTTGCTTATTTATAGACAAGGTCTCACTGTGTAGCTCAGGCTGGCCTCAGACTCATAATGTGCCTGCCTCTGCCATCCTGAGTGCTAGGATTATAATATATGCCATCAGGACAAGTTCTGATTTCATTTAAAAAAAAAAAACAAAACAGGAATGGGAATGTAGCTTAGTGGAAGGAGTGCTTGCTTAGCATGGATGAAGTCCTGGATTCAATTACTCAGTACCACATAAACAGAAAAGGCCAGAAGTGGTGCTGCAGCTCAAACGGTAGAGTGCTAGCCATGAGCAAAAGAAGCTCAGAGACAGTGCCCAGGTCCTGAGTTCAAGCCCCAGACTGGCAAAAACAAAAACAAATACAAAAAGAAAACTGGTCTATAACATTCCAAAGCTATCAGAAATTTAACAGTGACTAAATATGTAATATGAAGAAGTCAGTCCTAATTCTTCAGGTGTAAAATGATCATTTGACTGAACTTCTAAAAAGAGAAGTCAGGTACAATGGCTCTGCTTCTATCTGAGAAGCAGAGACTGGGGGATCACTGTTGGAGGCCAACTCAATCAATGGCTAGGTATGGCAGCATGCAGTTGTCATCTCAAAATTGACTATGGGTTGACAACAGTTGGAGGCAAGTGATGAGTTTATGAGGATCCATTATATTCCTTTGTATACTTTTTGTATGTGTAAAGCCCATAATAAAGTATTTTAAATGCTAGATAAGCTAGTTCCCTATCCATACGAGTAACTATTAAGAAAGAATAGTATGTTTAAGGCATTCCCAGTCCCTGAAGTAGGAATGAAAACAATGTTTAAAAATGCAATTATTAGGGCTGGGGATGTGGCTTAGTGGTAGAGTGCTTGCCTAGCATGCATGAAGCCCTGGGTTCCATTCCTTAGTACCACATAAACAGAAAAAGCCAGAAGTGGTGCTGTGGCTCAAGTGATAAGAGTACTACTAGCCTTGAGCAAAAGAGAGGACAGTGCCCAGGCCCTGAGTTCAAGCCCTAGGACTGCTCCCCTCACTCCCAAAATTGCAGTTATTATAATTCCAGTAAGAAGCACTAAAGATATTTTGAACAAAATTAGTATTGTTGATGTTACTGAATGGACCTAGTTCTCTACTCTTACCATCTACTGCTACAATGAAAAACATCAAGTGCCTGACATCTTTGTATATCTGTGACAATGAACATGAAGTTTCAAACAAGAGACTACAAGGTAAAAGTAGGCTGGCTAGACCCACTATTTTATCAATAGGTACTATATAGTACATGAACTATATTTCCAGAGAGTTTTAAAAGCTTACTGAAAAGGAAAAAAATACCTAGACATACTAATATTTCTCTATATTTTAGCAAATGATGAAAAAGAAGAATTAATTCAGTAAAAGAGCTAATCAAAGGTATCTATTTTTTAAAATGCAACTAGGTGCTGGTCACTCATGCCTGTAATCCTAGCTACTCAGGAGGCTTAACTCTGAGAGTAGTGGTTCAATGGCAGCTCAGGCAGAAAGTCTATGAAAATCTTTATTTCCAATTAACCACCAAAAAGCTAGACATGGAACTGTGGCTCAAGTAGTAGAGCAACAGCTTTTAGCAAACAAGCTAAAGGACAGTGTCCAGAGCCTGAGTTCCAGGACAATAAAAAGGGTATTTGAGAAGCAGGAAGATAACTCATTTTAATTCTGACCATAAATTAACATGACATTTTCTGAAATAGCTATGAAATGTATGTGGCTAGACAGAAAAAAATCCTTGAGAGAAGCAAAGTATAATGGCTCAAAATCCTCAAAAATTACCGATGGAATGCAAGAATAACTTACCAAAAATCATGGCCTTCTTCAATGGATTACCTAAGGATCCAACATAAAAACACTGAAGAGGCCTTGTTTTTATCTATCTAGACCCAAGTCCTCTTAACCTAACGCTTAAAAATATGCTTTTCAAAACGCAGTTTTAGAAGGTTAAAATATGTTTGTGACTTTAAGTATCACTATTCCACACTACTGTGAAATATGTGAAATTTATGTAATCACCTAATCTCAATAAAAAATTTAAAAATAAAATAAAAAGCAGTTTTAAATTCACTGAAAAACTAGGTAGATGGTACAGAGTTCCCATATGCCTCCTGAACTCCCACACATGCAGTTTTTCCTACTACCAATACCCCATAACAGAGTGGTACATTGGTTTCAATCAGTGAAGCTACAGTGACATCATTATCACCGAAAGGTCAGTTTACCTTATGGTTTACTCTCCTTGTGCATATTCTAAGGGTTTCAACAAATGTGTAACATGTTTCTTCCATTATTGTATGCTACAGAATAATTTTACTTTGCTAAAGTTTATCTATGTTTTGCCTATTTATTCCTCCTCCAAACTCCCATCAAATACTTTCTAATACTTCTTGGAATGATCAAAACTAGAATGAGCATTTCAGTCCATTTAGTCCATAAAGAAAGAAATCACTATGACTACTAAAGAGTATTAATGCCTGAGGGAGACTGTATAAATGACATCTTTCTCCCTTTATTATGTACAAGTGCCAATTGTTTCTAGCAATTTATCAATACATAGTACCTCAATTATTTTTTGCTTTTATAGTGGCATTATAGAAGCAATACATTTGTCCTCTCTTTAGACTGATATTAACAATTTTTAATTGTCAACTTTAATTATTTTATTTTTGGAACAGCGTCAGGGTTTGAACACAGGGCCTCATGCACTCATGTGGATTTTTCCCTTAGGACTAGTACTTTATGTCTTAAGCCACATATGCAGCCCTCAAGAAACTTTTTTTTTTTTTGTCCTGGAGCTTGAACTCTGGGCTTGGGCGCTGTCCTTGTGCTCTTCAGCTCAAGGCGAGCACTCTACTGCTTGAGCTACAGCACCACTTCTGCCCTCAAGAAACTTTTAAGAACCCAGTTCGTTTTCTACAGTTGTCCAGTAGCAAAATCAGGACCTTAGCAGTGGCTTTTATTTTTGAACTGTGCATTTTAACAAAGCTTTTTAACCTCTAAAGAAAATCTGTCAATTTCTGACCAATGAATATAAACTGTTATTTTTAAGTAAATGTTTAAAGCTTCTGTCCAGTTATTTAGAAAGTGAGTCTTTTGAACCATTTAGAAGTTCACAGAAAAAATAAATCAGCTTAGACTCATTAAGTATTTCTGGAGTTGTGTTGTAGCTCCATGCACTTATAAGAAGAAAAGGTAAGCTATTCAAGGAAATTATCCCAATTTGATCAGAAAATAAAAGATAAAACTTGAATTGCACTCTACTCTACTCCCCGCAAAACTGAAAAGAATATAAGCTTTCTTCAGAAAATAAAAATTTTACTGGAATATCCTCCAAAAGTAGCAATCTTTCATTAACCACATCACTATTTACATGGCAGGCTTTTATTTTTCTGACCTAAGAAAATGGCATGGTACATAATAAGCAATTAATTACCTTTGATTTTTCCTCATTTTCTCTATAAAATTCTGCCATCTGTTCCTCTTGTTCTTCAATAACATCCTTGAGGGTGTCTACCTGGTAGATCAGATTGTTCTTTTCATTGTCCAACTGTGCATTAGAAACCATGGCTTTCTTGTATTTCTCTTCCACTTCAGACAAGGACTCCTAAATGACAAAATCATTAGCTTGAAATCTAAGATATGTTCATTGTGTACATATAACAGAAAATCATAGCATTGGCACAAACACATTAATATTGCATTCACAAAATATAGGTGTTTTAAGAATTCCTTGTTTAGTTACATGCACATAAAACAGAGAGACAAAATACATTCCCTCTTTGCTCCCAAGAAAACAAAATCAAGCAGTAATGTAGCTCTGAAAGATGAAGAGAAAACCACTTCTAAGTGTCAGAAAATCTACATTCATTGTTTGTAACAACAAAACACCTGGTGTTTATATGTAATGATGCAACAAAACGGGGCCTCTTACTACACAAAAATAGTCATTTGAATTTTGCTACTTCCTAGGTTTCTGTTTTCAGTATATGCTAATGTCAATGTGTAAACGTGTCTTCTAATTTTATTCAAATTTTAGCCATTTTTTAGTAAGTGATCAATACAGGTTAGACATGGTGGCTCACCTATATAATCCTAGCTATTTGGAAAGCAAAAATTGGGAGGACTGTGGTTTGAAGCCAAACTATCAGACACAAAGTTCCCCATTTCAACCAATTTAAGGAAAGATGGGCATGCTGGCACATACTTGTCATCCCAGCCATAGGGGAAATAGGAGGACTGTGCTCTGGGCCAGTCTGGGCATAAACATAGTTGAAAGTGGTAGAGTGTCTGCCAAGCAAGGCTACAAGTTCAAATGTGTTGGTGTGGGTGTGAAAGAGAGACAGAAATGGAGAAAAACAGAAACAGAGAGAGAAAGAAACAGAGAGACAGAAAACAAAACCAAAAAGGGCTAAAATGGTAGAGCACATGCCTAATAAGTGAAAGGCTGTGGTTTCAAACCCAGTACCACCAAGAAAAGAAAAGAAGAGAAGAGAAAAGAAAAGAAAAAGTAAGCAATTTTTAAAAAAAGACTATTAAAAAAGGGAGCTACTGTCAGGTTCTGGTTGGCTTACACTGTAATCCTAGTTAGTCCAAAGTCAGCTCAGGCAGGACAGTCCATGAGACTCTTACCTCTAATTAGCCACTTGAATGCCAGAAATGGAGCTGTGGCACAAAGTGGTAGAGCGCTAGCCTTGAGCAAAAAGCTCAGAGAAAGTGCTGAGGCCCTGACTTCAAGCCTCACAATTGATTTTTTTTTTTAAGGGAGACATTAGCTGGGTGCAAATGACTCATACCTGTAATCAGCTTCACAGTTCACAGAAGGTTATAGGTGGGAAGATCATGTATTGATATCCATATATAATCAGTTTTATTTAAGTTCTAGTAAGGCACTGATTTTCAGTGTGGGTTATGGATCAGCAGCCAAGAACATTAATTGTGAACTGGGTAGACATGCAAATTTTCAATCCCCTCAATGACTCCCTCAGTCAGAAAATCTGGAGGTAGAACCCAGTAATCTCTATTCTGAAAAGCTCCAAATGATCCTGGTACACACCAAAGTTTTGAAACCACTGAGTTAGTTTAAGCTGTGTATAGTGCCATATATTCAAAAAATACCTTCACAATACTGGGGTGAAATTCTCTCTTAGTTCATAAGCTAGTAGCTCATAAGCATCCTTACTTTATTCTTGGCACGTTGTAAAGGGTAGATACTTCACTGGGTACCACTGACTCAAACCTATAATCCTAGCTACTCAGGAGGCTGAAATCTGAGGACTGCAATTCAAAGCTAGTCCAGGCAGGAAAGCCTATTGAGCCTCTTATCACCAACTAACCATCAAAAAGCTGGAAGTAAACCTGTGGCTCAAGTGGCAGAGTGCTAGCCTTGAGCAAAACTGCTGCAGGACAGCAGTCAGGCCCTAAATTCAAGCCCAGGACTGGCATGCACGCTCATGCGTGCACACACACACACACACCACAGTCACTTCATCTATTAGACAACTCATAAGATTTACACTCATAGTCCACACACACACACACACACACACACACCACGGTCACTTCATCTATTAGACAACTCATAAGATTTACACTCATAGTCCATAACCTCTTCTCTTCTCTCAACAATTCTTCCTGGGATTACTTAAAGCCATTTTCTTACTCCTAGTGTTCTAGAATTAAAGAAATGGCAATATTTAAAAAGAACATTGTCTGGAAGGTTTTAACTAAAACTAGTCAGTACAAAACTGACTTTGTAGATGACTAAAGCTAGTCATCTACTTTGTAGTTTTGTGATCATTTACTTTGTAGATGGATAAAATATTGTTCTTGTTCTCAACATCTCAAACCCTAGCTGAGTTAACTGTACATGTAAAGAATGAGATACCAGCACTTACACTGTACATCAAGTGACTGGTAACTGAGCTACTTTCAACTCAGGGACAGGAAGGATTGGTAACCTATCATTATGTTCTACTGAGTATTAAAAACAAAAATCATGCTGGGAACTGGTGGCTCACCCTATACTCAGTAGCTGAGAACTGAGGACTGTGGTATGAAGCCAGCCTAGGAAAAACAAATCTATGAGACTCATATCTAATTAACTAGAAATGGCTGGAAGTGGCTCAAGTGCAGCTCAAGAGTTAAGAGTGCCAGCCTTGAGTAAAAAAGCCAAGGAAGGGTATGAGTACCTGAGTTCAAGCCCCAGTACTGGCACAAAAGAAAAAAACAAAGAAAGTAGCATTCTTTTAACACATCTCTTTATTAGTCTTTTCTCAACTAATTTCACCATTATTTCAACCTCATTCTATCTCTGGTTTCTAAGTGACTGTACTAAAGTGTCCTTTAAAAATTCTTAATGTTTCGCTATAAACTTTTCTTTAAATGATGGGAAGAAAGAACAGAGCATGTACTAAAGAAAACAAATTCAGCCTGGGTTTGCATAAAAAAGAGAAGTTATCAACATCCTTCATTGAAAATTCTTCATTAAAAATAAAGCCAGACGATGGTGGCTCACACCTATAATTGTAATTACTGAGGAGGCTAAGATCTGAGAATTACAGCTCAAAGCCAGCCTGGACAGGAAAGTCCATGAGACATTTATCTCCAATTAACTACCAAAAAGCCAGAAGTTGGTGCTGTGACTCATGTGGTAGAGTGCTATCATTGAGCAAAATAGCTAAGGGATAATGTCCAGTCCCTGAGTTCAAGCCCCAGGACAGGGACAAAAAAAAAAAAAAGGATAATACTAAACATTTAAACATAAGCAGATATTGAAAGTTCATCTTTCCTATGTTTTGCAGGTTAAGCACATGCTTGAAAGACAAATGCTGTTAGTAAAGCTATGTGCAGTACATTAATAAAACTCGTGAAACCACCATTACCAACAGTTCTGCATACACAGCATGCGTGAGTTGCAAGATGGGCCCTGTACCTTTAATTCTTTAAGCCCCTGCATGTATCTCCCTTCTACATCCTGTATCTGGTCCTTCAGGTCATAGATATCCTGCAGGACATAGGAACGAACCATTGCATAAACAATGCATAAACATAAGTTAAGACTTAAAAGATTCAGATGAAAATAAGACATGCTTTCGTAAACTCCAGACTTGATGATACATCAAGGAATAGAGTAGATCATAGTGGGATTGAAGAAGGTAAACAACCTAATGTCAATCTTTTTTTTGCCATTAAATTCTGTCGAAAACAGCATTAGCAAATGAGAGCAGGGCTAAATACTGAAAAATGGTAAATAACATATTTTAACATATTACTTGAAAAATTTTTTAAAAATCTAGCATAATACTTCACCCTCTACAACTAGTAAAATACATTGCAAGTTAGAAGAAAATTTTGCTGATCCATATATAAGTGGCAAAAGCTGTAATACACATATATGCAGCAAGTTAATCTTCTGTTACTGACCACAATTTGGGAAAGAGAAGCCAAATACAAAAATTTTGAATATAATGTCAATAAGATATTTTATCCAGATGACACCATTTAAATGTGATAAAACCATATGTTACCATAATCCTAAGAAAAGTGGAAGAAATCAGATTTTAAATGGAAAATATTGTTTCCCTGGTGCCCATCACAGTTATGGAAGGTCAATTCTGGATCTTTACTGTAGGTGGAAATGTAACTGCTATGTGGCCCTGAATATCAATTATTAAAAGTAAATCACATATATTTCTGGCACTGTGTCTTCCCTATCCCACTCTGTTAAATTTGTCTTTTACACATTGATTTCAGTAAAAGATATTTTCAAAGGACCTATCAGGAGCCAGATGCTGGATCACAAAAACTTCACTTCTTTCAAGGAATGATGTCCTTTTGTTCCACAAGAATGTAGCACCTAAGGTAGGCGCTGGTGCCTCACGCCTGTAATCCTAGCTACACAGGAGGCTGAGACCTGAGGATCAAGATTCAAAGTCAGCCCAGGAAAGAAGGCATGTGTGAGACTCTTATCTCCAACTAACCACCAGAAAACTGGAAGTGGCACTGTGGCTCAAAGTGGTAGAGCTCTAGCCTTCAACAAAAGAGCTCAAGAACAGTGCCCAAGCCCTGAGTTCAAAACCCATGATTCCTCTCTGCTCCCCCACCCCACCCCAAAAAGAATGTAGCACCTAAAGGCAAGATTTTGTCTTACCCAACTCTGTACCTCCAGCACTTATGCCTGGTACACAATAACACAATGGTTACTGACATTTTCAAAGCTATGGCCATGCTGGCTTAAGTCAACTCTCCTTCTCTGTCACTTTTTCAAATCCCCATCCAATTAACTCAGTTTTATTCTTGGTCCTAACATCATATAAAATCACTTGGTTTTAATACTGAAACAATGTCTTTTCTATGAGATAGTGGTCTTCTAAAGGCCAGAGTATGTTTTGCTACCTATCTCTCTAGATGGCAAGTTTTCAATAAACAAGAATAGAGGAAGAAAGGAATGCAGTTTCTCTATTACCCTTCACCCAATTCCTTAGCAGGCTTCAGCAATTAAAGACATCAAAGAATATTTTTTACATTTTTAGCTCCCAGATGAAGGAGTTAAGAAGGATAGTGACTCAACTAAAACCAATAAGTCTTTTCACTATCTCAGGTGTCTCTCTTACCTCAAATATTCTTCTACTATTATTATGAAAAACTGAAAACTGTATACAGGTAAATAATATTGTAATGGCTCAAAGGCTAATAATTCCTAGAGTCTCTATATGTAAATCTCTGTATTTTCCATTTAAAATACAGCAAATTAATTCTGAGTTCTTTTACTTACATAACAAAAACATTTTGGCTTTGGCAAAACTCGTTCCAATACCATCATATTTTTAAGGGAAAATAAAAAGAATTACTTAATTTCTTTCAGGTTCTAAAACACCTGAGAGTAATTGATGAGCTACATTGACCATTTCTTTGAAGCAATCATACTCCTTGTTCCTAGGAAGTCTCATTTGTTAAGAATCTCCTTATAAACTACAAAGAGACCAGAGGACTTTTAAACACAAATGAAAAACTCAGGTTTACCCTCAATTCACTTAATGAGGTGTCTGGGTCTATTAAGCTGCTGGTGTCCCCACTTCCTCGTCTGGATGAATTTCCACTTAGCGGGGTTGTTGCTGAGGCAGAATTTCGAGATGATGGCTAGAAGAAATAAGACACTTCTGAGATTTTGTTTCATTAAAAATGTTTGCTATAAAACTAAAAATAAGGGCAGGTTGTTAGGACCAGATGTAAAATTTCAATATAGAAACTAATAAACAGTGTGATCAAGAAGCCACCAAATGCAATTGATGGACAATTAGATTGGTTTGGGGGTTGGAAGCATTCAGAGAAAAGCCCATGCAAAGAAGCAGAATTTCATTAACTCAAATGTTTTATTAGAAGCTAGAATTCAAAATAACCAAGGAGAATTTCTGTGGGAGTTTATTTTCTAAGTTTATCATTGCTATTTCCAACAGTACTCTAATGAGCACATCAGATTAGCCTAGAAAAGTTTTACAACTTTAAAATCAGATGTCTCTAGTTCATAAAAATTCCTAAATTCTTTTTTTAATCCTTTAGAGATTCTGGTTGCAGCTAAGAGCAACAACTCTGCATACCACTGTGAATTTAGACTACTCATCACTAAATCATGCTAATTGTTAATAGACAACAGAGATCTGTGCTTCCAATGAACTAGTGCTACTGAGCAATTGTAATGTGGCTAGTCCAAATTGAGATTTAAGTATAAAATATATATCAAAGGCTTAGTGCGGAAAAAAATTGAAAAATCTCACTAATAATTTCTCACATTGGTTTTATGTTGAAATATTTGGACATCTGGGTAAAATATTATTTAAATTTAGTTTTTAGTGTTGCTACCAGAAAATTTAAACTTACATATGTTTACAGTGTTGTCTTGCATTATATTTTAGTTGCATGTTCTAGAGTATAAAACTAATTAAGACAAATCATTTTCCTGACTTCCCTAAGGCTACTTTTAGAAAAAAAATGACCACTACCATAAAAGCAATTCCTAGCCAGAGGCATGGCTGAGCAGTACAGCACCTGCCTGAGCTCAAGGCTCTGAGTTCAAACTCAAGTACTGCCAATAAAATGAAAATAAAATAACGTCACTCCCAGGAGACATTTGATCTCAAGAAATAATTTATTTATAAAAGGAAAAACAAACACCTGAGATTGTAATCACAGACATTTAATTTTCAGTGTCATACGACTTGTCAAGATCAACTTTTAGAGGAATGAAAATGAAAGAAAAAAGTAATCAAAAGCTAAAAAAGTGACATTCAGTGAAATAAAATGCAACCATTTCTCTTCCCAGGGCTTCATGTGATTTAACTTCCAAGGAATTTTGAGGGGTCAAGGACAGGAAATAGATGAAGAGTAGCTGTATCAGACCAATTGCAGTAAAATAAAAGAATGAACAAAATGTAAGCTTAAGTGGCCTTAAGAACTTAATTTCCTCAGGAATTTATATACTCACCCTTGTGTAATTTTCAGCATACTGTTTGTCAGATTTTTCATCCAACTAGAAAGGAATAGAGATTTAAAAAATTAGCAAAAATATTTATTAGCATGTTCATTTTTTGTAAGGGTTGAAAAAAATCTCATTTGAGTTCTCCAAGTTCAATGATGTTTGAAACCTAAAAGTAAACAGTAAAACTGAAATAAAAGTTAAGACACAAAGAGAAAATGTCAGGAATTTATATTCTAAGGAAGATAAGCACTAAGCACTTTCAGATTTTTATTTCATGGTTTTAAAATACATTAAAGAATACTGTATATAAGCTTCAGTTTCAACACTGCAAATGTCAATACAAAAAAGCATGCACATATCAAAGGAAAAATCTAATAAAAATAAACCAAAAGCCAAAAAATACATTTTTAACATTACTAGGACATAAAACACATCAATAAAACGAGTTAGTACTTTTTATAGCCAAGTTCAGATTATACTACAAGATACAAATCATTTTTTCCTGACATCATTAAAGGATTTTTGTTTTTTGTTAAGGGGTATACACACACATGGTCTCCCTAGCAAGAACAAAAAAAAAAATGCAAACAACACAAAAAGTTTATTAAAAATAGGCCTCTTTCCCTACCATGCCATACTGTTTCCTCCAATCACCAAAGGCAACCAACTCCAAAGTCTTTAAAATATCCTAAACACTAGGAACCTACGTACATTCAAAGTCTCAAAGTTTTAAGAAAGTATTTGCGATTTGGTCCTATCATGTATTATTCCCTTACAATATAGTATTTATTCATTTGCTTACTGTCTGGTCTAATATAAGCCCTATGTATGTATATGGGCTCTTTTCTATATTCCTAGTGCCAAGTATAGCACACCTACCATATAGGACTTAAAACTCTATTAGATAAATGAAAAAATGAATCTGCTACCTAATTTATTTTTATAGCTTCATAGTAACATGGTATCTTGACATGCTATAGTTAATTTATCTCTTGCTAATAGGTCTTGGTTTTTTTTTTAATTGTTTTTTTTTTCAGATAGTTTATCAAGAAAGAAAAGGATATATTAAAAATTTGCTCCAAAACTCTTCTGACTTTATTATAAATAAGGGGAAAACTCAGAGGTGAAAAGACTTTGCTGAAGGTTGAACAATTACTAAATGCCTCAGATGAATCGAAACATCAGTTTTATGAACTCTAGTATTTGTAGGTATCTCAATAGCTATAAAGAGATTTAACTAAATAAAAATACATATCCAGGTTCCAATTACTAGACCTGCTTTCCCAACCCAACCTAGAGAAGAGATGAGGAAATGTGTAATTAATAGATAAAACATGAAATGTCATTACTTCTGGCTCTGTTCTGATCATCACTTGATCCTAACTTCCTTGTATTTGAAACTTTGTAGTGATCTTATCACCCATATTCATCATCCAGATAATCTTTTTAAAACATCTGTTAAATACTATATCAGTAATATAAACACTAATTTTAGATTTTAACTTTTGTTTTTGCTTTCTTGCTATACCCTCCCTAAAAGAAATCACTCTATTTGGATTTTTTAATAATATATGAAATGTTTTACAACTATCAACCAAAAATATGTTTTTAATATGGCAATTATCATTATAAAAGGTAATAGTTCTCCCTCAAATTTCTACTAGTAAAATGCATTGTCTTTATGTAATCTGTTATATTTTATAATAAAAGAAATATCTTAATGAACTGGCTTATTTTCCTCATATTTTCCAAGGAACCCTTTTAAAATAGCAATTATGAAATTTATAACAACTATTTATAATAAAATTTATAATTAACAATTATAATCTTTATAATAATTAAAAATAAAAAATAAAATTAAAAAACCTAAAAAAGAAAAGCAAGAAATATTCAAAGTTAAAATATTCTTCTAAGTCTATTTAAAATCTTTCTTCATACCTGACTCTTATAAAACTGAACTTCCAACTCACCCATGTACTAGTAGACCATCACCATGGAATAATCTTGTATTCCCAAGGTTACACCAGTGAAGTCAGATGTGACAATGTTGATTCTATCTTGTTTCGCTATATTTTGACATGGCCCAATTGTCGCAACTCAAACTGATCATGCGCCAAACCTCAGGATTGTTAAGACAGGAGAGAAAAAAAAAAGCCTACAGCAGCAGTATGCCGCAGTACAGTTATTTTGGTTGCAGTGACTTGGCCAGAGACTTCTTCAGTTGTCACTTTTGAACAGCTTTGTAAAGTAAAACGCTATACTGTAAACAGTCCAAGGAATCCAAGAGATTGACAAAGGTGAATTAAGGTAACAAACTAATGTTCATAATGACTGAAAAAGTTTGTGGGAGATTGTGATAAAGCTTATTAAAATTCAACTATGTTTAGAGTATAAAAGTGTACTTTTGTATACCAAAAGTATTTATAGTGTAGTATTTGCGATGTAGTCTGTTCAAGGCAGTCATTAAATCCTACTCTAGCAATTACTTGATAGAAAGATAAGATAGATAGATAGATAGATAGATAGATAGATAGATAGATAGATAGATAGATAGATAGATAGATAGACAGATAGACAGACAGACAGACAGACAGACAGACAGATCCCTTATCTGAAATGCTTGGGACCAGATGAGTTTCAGATTTCAGACATTTTAAGATTTAAAGATACTATAATATACATAAATAAAATACCTTGCAAATGAGATTCAAGTCTAACATGAAATTTATATTTCATATACACACCCAATCCACATAGGCTAAAGGTTAATTTTCTATGTTAATTTTTAGTGTGTCTGAGTTTTTACAGGAACCTATCACATGACAACTGTTGGGATTTTCCACTGTGACATCATGTCAGTGCTCAAATTTTCCAGATTTTACATCATGTCAGGTTTTGGATTTTTTGATTAAGGATGTTCAGTCAGTGATGGCATGGCAAAGTTATTCAAAAACAATTTTTTGAAAAAACAGAAAAATAGAAAAACTGATTATCTAGTCACAGAGGGATGAGAATAATCAATTTAATAACTGCCTAAAGAAAAACTGGCTGATGATTCTATCCAAAAATCAATTATTATTAATCAGCAAATTTTATTAGCATACTTACATTCTTTTTCTTTATTCTAGTTGGACACCAAGTATACATATATAACTAATAAAGAAAAAATTAAGTGACTAAGAAAATTATAAGCCGGGTACCGGTGGCTCATGCCTGTAATACTAGCTACTCAGGAGGCTGAGATCTGAGGATCTGGGCAGCAAAGTCTGTGAGATTCTTCTCTCCAATAAACCAATAGAAAACCGGAAGTGGCGTTGTGGCTCAAGTGGTAGAGTGCTTGCCTTGAGCTGAAGAGAGCAGGGACAGCACCCAGACCCAGATTTCAAGCCCCACAACCAACAAAAAAGGAAAAAAAAAAAAAAAGAAAACTATAAATTCTGGACTGTTTGCAGAATCAGAGCATCGTTTTTAACACCTACTAGCTCAGAAGTTATTAACTATCAAGACTATAAATATATATTTGGTCTACAATGTGGTAGAACAAAACCTCTAAATTTTAGTTTAGGCCTGTAATCCTACCTACTTAGGAGGCTGAAATTTGAAGATCATGATTTGAAGCCAGCCAGGACAAAAAAGTCTATGAGACTCATTTTTTTTTTTTTGGTCAGTCGTCAGTCTTGAACTCTGGTCTTGAGTGCTGTCCCTGCACCCTTCAGCTCAAGGCCAGCATTCTACCACTTGAGCCACAGTGCAACTTCCAGTTTTCTAGTGGTTTATTGGAGATAAGAGTTTCGTGGACTTTCCTGCTTGGGCTGGCTTTGAACTATGATCCTCAGATCTCAGCCTCCTGAGTAGCTAGGATTATAGCTGTAAGCTACCTGTGCCCGGCTCTTCTATGAGACTTTTGAATGACCAAAAAAGCAGGAAGTAGAACTGTGCCCCACCAAAAAGAAATTTACTGTCAGTAATTTAAAATCAGAATGTTTTACATAAAAAAACAGATTTCTAACATATGTTTAAAAGATAGAGATCCTTCTGTACATCACCTTTTACATAACAATTAAAAATTGTTAAGACAGAGAGATGGGTCATGGGGCTTGAACTCTGGGCCTGGGCTCTGTCCCTCAGCTCTTCAGTTCAAGACTAGCACTCTACCACTTTGAGCTACAGTGCCACTTCCAGTTTTCTGGTGGTCCATTGGAAATAAAGAGTCTCACAGACTTTCTTGCCTAGCCTGGCTTTGAACGAGATCCTCAGATCTCAGCCTCCTGAGTAGCTAGGATTACACGTGTGAGCCACCAGCACCCGGCTTCTACCAATATTTTTTGTACCAGTCCTGGGGCTTGAACTTAGGGCCTGGGCCCTGAACGTTTTTGCTCAAGGTTGGGGCCCTACCACTTGAGCTAGTTTCACTTCCAGCTTTTTGGTTGTTAACTGGGGGTAAAAGTTTCACAAACTTTCCTGCCTGGACTGGCTTTGAACCACAACCTTCAGATCTCAGCTTCATAAGTAGCTAGGATTGAAGGCGTCAGTTACCAGTGCCTGGCTCGCATCTCCTTTTAACATGTCTATAGTGAGCTGAATTATAGCATACTCTACAAAACATATACCTGGGTTTTGGGTTGTTTTTTTTTTTTTTTTGTCCGAGACCAGGACTTGAACCGGTATATGATGGTTTCACTCACTGGCTGGCACTCTACTACCTGAGCCATGCCTCTAATCCCAAGAAACACGTTTGTTTTTTATTTTTTTTAATTTGCTTTAGAAAGGGTTCTAGCAAATATTTTTAAACTTTGCCAAGAGGCAAAAAAAAGGATATTACATATGCACTTGTACAGCCACTTAAAAATATAAAAGCCAGGGGCTGGGAAGGTGGCTCAGTGGTACAGCGCTTGCCTTGCATGCTTGAGGCCCTGGGTTCCATTCCTCAGCACCATATAAGCAGAAAAAAAAAAAAAAAAGCCAGAAGTGGCATTGTGGCTCAAGTGGTAGAGTGCTAGCCTTGAGCTGAAGAGCTGAGGGACAGCGCCCAGGCCCAGAGTTCAGGCCCTACGACCAGACCCCCCCAAAAATATAAAAGCCAGTGAGTGTCATACGGGCTATAAAATAACACGAAGATTTTTGAAGCCCTGTCCTAAAGAATCTTTTGCTTACACTAAAGAGTTATATTTACTTAGTAGAGACAAGAAGAAACTAAAAGAACAGTCAACATTTTAATTTCTGTGTAACTTACTTAATTTCTAAGAAATAATTATAAACAGAACATCTATTAATTCAGACATCATGGATAGAACATATATATTAAAATAGAGACTGTTTATAGAATAAATATATGTATTTATATAACATATAATCTTATATATATTTATATAATATATATGCTGGACATATAGAATAAATTCAATTGTCTATATACATGCTAAAAAGAAGATAAGCAGGATAAACAGGCAGTATTTCAAAAGAATGATTAGAGAATCAGCCTTCCAATTTAATAAGTAAACAGAGCCCTTAATTCAATCCATGACAAGATATTAGATTTGAAAAACAGCTTTCCTAGGGAGTAAATTCAGTGCCTGAATTTTAACAGCTACTCTATTAGTTGTTAGTCACAGCCTAAGACAACATAATCACTCCATGCAATGGACTCACACTGGTCAAGTCTGGGATACTGGCATCATCCACCTCAGAGACAACACTCCCCCTACGATTCGAACGACTAAAATAGTCAGCAGCAGAAACCTTCTAGTCAGAAAAAACAAAAATAAAAAACCACTTTAAAAGTTAATAAAAGAAGAAAAGAACATTGGCCCAAACAGAAAAAAATGTTTTAATTTCATATATGATAAAAGCATTATGAAACAAAGAAACTTTATAATTAATCTACTCAAAAGTTACCAAAAAAAAAAAAAAAGTTTCTTAAGTGAAATCACAGTTCCTTAAAGCACTTGTTTATGTAAACTACAATTCCACACAATAGAGGTAACTTACTGGCTAAGGGCAAGCAAATCTCACACATTCTCCACTGGCAGTTTCCAAGATTGTAGCTAACTAATACCTCTACTATATTTCATAAAGTTTATTCATTATAGCTATCAATTCTAGTGATAGCTAATTTCCACCCTTTTTTATATTCCTCAAGATCAGGAAATATACAAAATACAAAGGAAAAAAAAACCTACTCATCTCTTTTTGGTTCACCCAACTTGCCAGCTATTTCCTGACTCAGACGTGGACACTGCTCTGGAAAGCTCTTTTTTTATACCTTCCCCTCCACAACTACCAAACAAACAAATAACAACAACAACAACAAAAACCAGCTGGCTCCTCATATTTTAGGGAGCAGCTCAGAGATTTCTGGCCCCGACTACTCCACCCAAAGGGGCACATGCGCACACAAACAGTTTGCTCTCTCTGGTATAACACACTATTCCTAGCACTCAGTGCCTCAAAATACTAAACACAGTACCTAGCAAATTAATAAAGTAAATTTGTTTTATCTCATCAACCAATTATTCTTTATTTCACTCAGTTGACTGTTTACCTTGCTTCTCCTGGAGGAGAGGGTGATTTAGAAACTCATAAGTAAAGACAAAGTAGACCTATGAAGTTTTGTTAATGACTAATAAAATCAAGCAATCATTTTTATTCACAATAATACTATAACAGATATCTACATACCAATATATATATATATATATATATATATATATATATATATACACATGCATATGGGGCTAATATGTCAGAACTGCTATAGGTATTTTCTATAATTCACTGAATTCATCTATTAGGCCTACCTACAAATTAGATAGCCTTAACATCTCCATGGTAAATATAGAAGTGGATGCAAGCCCAAGCACCAATTTACTTTTCTAAATGCTTTCAGGTGTTATGGCTTATTCTCTTTCCTCCAGAAGCATGAACACCAATTGGCTGACTGAGGGACCACATCTGCTTTAATAAAATTAGTGAAATTTGCCAATAAATCCCACACAAGCATTTGGTGTTCCATTTCTCTTTACAATCTTCCTAGTAACAAGAACCGTATTAAATAGATCATTTTTCTGAATGTAATTACCACCTCACAGAAAGAATGCTTTGTCTAGCTCCAAGTTGACACATGTAAGCTTTACAATGTTATTTTCAGATCATTTATAATAGATGTCATCAAGCCAATGTGAAAGTTCCAGCTTCATAAAAGAAATGAGGAATAAAAATTGGATGAATGAACTAGATTTGTTTAATTTAGCCCTCAGTAACTTAAAAAGTTCACTGATCTTAACAGTTAAATATTGATTAAATACCACATACAGAAGTATCTGGCAACATGATTTGCATTCCATAATTATGAATTAATGATAAAGTATTTTTGCTTGAGATATTTTTGTTTAATGAAATACACACTAAAATGCATTGCATAACAGCTATGGAGAACAAAACATAGACAAGTTTCAATAAATGACTTGTATATGAGACATCTACAAGAATAAGACCCATAGTCTCAACGTAACATTATAAAGCAAAATATTCATATAAATTTAAGGAAAATGCTCATTTTATCAAGAACAAATTTTATTTTCCAGTAGATTTCATTGTTGTCACTTTAAAAGTTGTCATATTTGTTTGCATGCAAACTACGCTCACCACACTCTCCCTTCGCCCATGGCTGGCACGATCTGAAGACACAATGCTTTCAGTGTCATCGTCGATAAACTATAGATATTAAATGCAGATAACAAAAAATGATTCAATTTCACTTTAGGTCTTATCTGACTGTAAGCACCTAAAACAAAACACTCTATACAAGCATTATGATTGGCCCAATGTGCTATGTACTATTAAATTAAAAAGCTGGGCTGGGAAGGTGGCTCAGTGGTGGAGTGCTTGCCTTGCATGCATGAGGCCCTGGGTTCAATTTCTCAGCACCACATAAGAAAAAAGAAAAAAAGCCGGAAGTGGCGCTGTGGCTCAAGTGGTAGAGCACTAGCCTTGAGCGAAGAGCTAAGGGACAGTGCCCAGGCCCAGAGTTCAGGCCCCACCACCAGACCCCCCAAAAATTAATTAATTAAAAAGCTACTACAAAGTAGAACAAACTAACATTAAATATCAAAAGGCATTTCCAAAATGCACGAAGAATAAAGCAGACCTTTATTTTTTAAGTTAAATACAAGGGGAGAGCATGAATAAACCAAAACTGTCTATCAAGGTTATGCTTTTCAGATCTCCAGATCTTTGGAATCCCATGAGGAGTCAATAAATACATTTAATGCTTCATTTGGGGAAATATTTTTCTTTAAAAATTTAAATGAAATAGTATGAATTAAAGATAGAATTTCCTACCAGCAAGACACTGAAGTGATGATCTGGATATCCCTTTATTCATTCCTATGCAGCTAGTGGAAATGTTTCTAGTATCACCCTATATTGAGCAGATTTCTTCCTATTTTACAAGCAGAAGTCTCATCTTTGGTAGATGTAGTTTATCTCCATTCTGACATCACTAAGAAACCATTCTGGCATCACTAAGACAGTAGCCCCAATGTGCAAATGAAATAGGATCTAGCTAGTTCAAAAGAACAAGGAATTATACTTGACTAAAAACATATCATTAGTCAAGAGTGATGGCATACACCTGTAATCCCTAAATGGAAGGCAGAGGTGGGTTTCAGACTGAAGACAGCATAGGCAAAAAGCACAACACCCTAGTTGAAAATAAAAGCAAAAAATTAAAATTTAAAAAAAAAAATCCTGACGGTGTGACTGAAGTGGCTAGAGCTCCTGCCTAGCAAGAGTAAGACCCAGAATTTAAGTCCCAGTACTGCCTAGCCCCCCAAAGATGTGTGTGTGTGTGTGTGTGTGTGTGTGTGTGTGTAAGAGAGAGAGAGAGAGAGAGAGAGGGAGAGGGAGAGGGAGGAAGGGAGGAAGGAAGGAAGGAAGGAAGGAAGGAAGGAAGGAAGGAAGGAAGGAAGGAAGGAAGGAAGAAAGAAAGGAAGGAAGGAAGGAAGGAAGGAAGGAAGGAAGGAAGGAAGGAAGGAAGGAAGGAAGGAAGGAAGAAAGAAAGAAAGAAAGAAAGAAAGAAAGAAAGAAAGAAAGAAAGAAAGAAAGAAAGAAAGAAAGAAGGAAAGTTAAAAATTATTTTAGGAGCTGGGAAGGTGGCTTAGTGGTAGAGTACTTGCCTTGCATGCATGAGACCCTGGGTTCGATTCCTCAGTACCACATAAGCAGGGGAAAAAAAGCTGGAAGTGGTGCTGTGGCTCAAGTGGTAGAGCACTAGCCTTGAGCTGAAGAGCTGAGGGACAGCGCCCAGGCCAGAGTTCAAGCTCCACGACCAAACAAAAAACAAAAACAAAAAAAAATTACTTTAATGTAAAAAAAAAAAAAAAAGAATGAAATAGATCTCCATGTACTGATATACAGAAAAAACAATTGATAGATGTGGTGATCAAGACACCCATGAGACCCTTATCTTAATTAAAAAATAAGCTGGAGCTAGTTGCCAGTGGCTTGTACCTATAAATCTAGCTACTTCAGAAGCTATTGGGAGAATCATACTTCAAGGTCAGCCTAGGGAGAATTCTTTCTTAACCAATAGCTGGATACACGGGTATAAACTTGTCATTTCAGCTCAAGATGTATTTGAGAAATTATGTAGCCAGGCACCAGTGACTTACCTATAATCCTGGCTACTCAGGAGGGTGAGATCTGAAAATCATGGATTGAATCCAGCCCAGGCAGGATTCAAGTCCATGAGACTCTTATCTCCGATAAAATACCAAAAGTGCGAAGTGGAGCTGCGGCTCAAATGGTAGAATACTGTGTTAACCCTGAGCAAAAGCAGCTCAGGAACAGGACTCAGGCCCTGAATTCAAATCCCAGGACCAGCAAGGAAAAAAAATATGTACTAAGTTGCATTCATACAAGAACTATCAGTTAAAACAAATTAGTACTTGATTTTGTGCGTTAAAAAGCATCATACTCCATGCACAATACAGTGAGAAAACACCACATCTTGAATATTCTAAACTGTGAGTACAAATCAATGAGAACAACTAAAAGCTTCTATTAAGGATGCAAAGAAAGTAGACAGCTCACCACGGGACTGCTTCGTGCTGAACTTGTTCTTGATGAATAATAACTGTATTCAGATGGCTATAAAATTTCCAAGAAGAAAGGATTTATAACAATTCCCTTTTTGGGAACACATTAATGACTCCACACCTAATGACCCCGACTCTCAAAATGTAGTTAACTACCTCTATGTGATCTCCCTGATATCACTCAAGATTCACCAGTCCCTGACAAGAGGGAGAGTAAGGGGATACCCTGAAGCATGGTGTTATCATTTATTTTTGTCAGTAAGCTGTTACCCTTACATCTCCCCACTTTTCGCAACATCCCGAAGTAGACTTACAGTTCGAGAACCATAAGGTTTATATAATCCACCATCATACAATGACGCCTGAAGAACAAAAGAAATACCATTTACCTATTCAGTATCAAGAGTGTTTGGAAAATACCCTTAACATTTTTTTTTTTTGCAGTACACAGTTATATTTTTTTTTTAAAAATCCCCAAGGACCAGTAACTTGTGTATAATCCTAGCTACTCAAAAGGATAAAATCTGAGGACTGAAGTTCAAATTAAGCCAGGGCAGAAAGTCTATGAGACTCTTATCTCCAATTAACAAGCAACAAGTCAAAAGTGAGGCTATGGATCAAGTGGTAGAGCGCCAGCCTTGACTGAAAAAGTCAAGGGAGAGCACAAGGCCCTAGTTCATACTTCAGAAACAGCACACAAAAAAAAAGTCTCTCAAATTTTTCCGCCTGGGCTGACTTTGAATCTCAATCCTCAGAGCTCAGCCTCCTGAGTAGCTAGGATTATAGGAAAGAGCTATATTTTTTAAGCTTCCCATGTAAAGATTCTGAGGCTGTAACACTGACACAAATTGCTGTATCAGCTTCATTACTTATTACAGAATTTTCTTAAAACTGTGTTATAAAACTAGGAGAACAATTTATTCTTTTCAAAGAAGAAAAAGAACAGGAATGGAAACAGGTACAGAACACATTTTTTGCCCATTGTTGCAATGAAATCAAGTTATATAACTTCAGAGTTCTAGTCTAATGGCATAGGTACAACACAACAAAGACCTTGAAAGCAACTAACAACTCACACATTGCACAAGCTATTGCTTTTGCTTTTCTAGACGGCACATGATCAAGATCATTAGCTGACCCTCCAAAAAAATATGACATCTCTTTCATGGTGAGTAAGTGAATGTGAAGGCATTCTACCTTTTCTGTAGGTTTCCAAATAGATTCTAAACAAAGACTATCAATAGTCAGCAGTTGCCACCTTAGTGCAAAAAAACATGCTTATTTTTAATGCCCTGAAATTTTGTATTTTGAATATAGGTAGCACATTCTGCAATTTACATGACATTAAAGGCCTATTCTGAAGGAAAGCTGTCAAGCCACAGTGTTATTAGCACTATGACAGTTATCCCATCAGCAGTACATACACTGAAAGAGGAAAATACAAACCAGACTGGTACTTCTCAGCAGACCAGAATTTGTAGTTGGGGAAGCCTATGAAAAAAGTGAATTATTAAGAAAAAGTGGTACTCCGAAGACAAATCTGAAGCCAACTTCTCAAAATATACTAACCCTGTTACTCTTAGATGTCGCCAAAGGATCACTATACAAGGAAGAAGACTGGAAAGAAAAAAGGCAAAACAAAATAAATAAGCAAAAAAAGAAAAAAAAAAAAAAAAAACCCTGGTCTCATCATGAAGGTGAAAGACCATAATTCATGAGCAACTTCTAAGGGCTTCCTATAGTTTTTAGGTCTTCAGGTAGTTAACACAGGAATTAAAAAAAAAAGTCAGAAACTTTCTTAAATGACTTGTGTAAGGGAGAAAAACACTTGGAACAGTCTTCTAGCAATGTGTCTATAGTATAGTATAGTCCTTGAAGATTATTGTTAGAATGTGAAGTGTGAACCTAATATATTTTTTATTTTTTTAACTGTATTTTTTTTGTCTTTTTTTTTTTTTTTTTGGGTATTGGGGATCGAACCCAGGACGTTGCACTTGCTAGGCAAGCGCTTTGCCACTGAGCTACATCCCAGCCCTGTTTGGGTTTTCTTTAACTGTATTTTTTTGTCTGAAAAAAAAAATTTTTTTTAAAGCACCATGGCAGCCGAGCACATTGGTGGCTCACATCTGTAGCCCTAGCTACTACTCAGGCTCATGGTTAGCAACCAGACCAAACAGGAAAAGTCCATGAGACTCTTATATCCAATTAACCACCAAAAAAGCTGAAAGTAAAGGTATGGTAGTAGTAAAACACTAACCATGAAAAATAAAAATTAAAAAGAGAAGTGTAATCTTTATTTCCAGTGCTGGAGATTGAACCCATGACCTAACATGAGGTACATAAATAAGTACTATCACTTTGTATTATACCCTAAGCCCTAACTTATTAAGTAATTAGAATAACTATAATTATGCTTCAAATGTATGTTAAATGCCTTGAAAAAACAAGTTTCTATAATTAAAGGGCACTGGTCATGAAGTGTATTGATCGATTCCTACAACTTATTTTGAAATACATTAAAAAAAAAAAAAAAAGATGAAAGCCAGGTATGTTGGCACATGCCTCTCAGCACTTGGGAGGCAGAGGCTGGAGGATCACAAATTTGAGGCCAGCTTGGGCTACAGAGTAAAACATCTCTAATAATAATTAGTCTTTTTTTTTTATTAAAAGATAGATTAATGGCTAAAGGAACAGACAAATAATTATGTGATAAAGAAAATGCAGATGTGATGTTATGATGTTAACTATGAAATTCTTTGAGTGTTTTTTGGGGTTTTGTTTTCTGGGTTTTTTTGGTCCCAATCTGGACTCAACTGGGTATCTAATGCTTACTTCCACTCATTGGCTGATGTTCTATAACCGAGCCCTACCTCAAACCCCAGGTTTTTTATGCTTAAATCTTTTCATTAAGATTTTGTTTTTAGGGGCTAGGAATGTGGTAGAGTGCTTGCTTTGCATGCATTAAGCTTTGGGTTTGATTCCTCAGCACCACATAAACAGAAAAGGCCACAAGTGGCACTGTGGCTCAAGTGGTAGAGTACTTGCCTGGAACAAAAGAAGCTCAGGTCAGTGCCCAGCCCCTGAGTTCAAGCCCGGGGACTGGCAAAAAAATAGATTTTGTTTTTAAAATACTCATTTACAAACATGGTTATTCAACAGTTGCCACTGTCTAGAGGCCTACTCACATAGACTACATGAATTCAGTTACCTAAAACCAACATACACACCATCATTCACAGATTAGTTACAAGCAGTCAAAATGTCAAACGAGGGATTAGAAATGTGCTAAAAAGTGGGTAAGACACATGAAGTCAAAAAACTTCTGACAAACCCGAGTGAAGTAGGTAGAGGTAGGTTTACTATGTTTAAGACTGCTATAGTTTCTCTGGTCATAGTAGAGGCCACTCTGCAAAAAGCAAAAATAAATAGTTTTCTCAGATTAAATGGTTTTGACCTAGCAGCATACAAAGTGAAATTTGAATATACTAATTCAAATATTAGAATGACCAAGGACCTTGAACTTCAAAACAATGTTTTTAAAGCAATGGGATCATACTAAACAAAAAGTTAAAAGTAACCACTCTTTCAAGTTAAGAAAGACTTGAATTAAAATTAAAATGATTCAAATCAAGTCATTACTAATTTTTACTACTTTAAAAAATAAGACAAGCCAACCAGGCACTGGGGATTCATACCTATAACCCTAGCTACTCAGTAGGCTGAGATCTGATGATCGTGGTTCAAAACCAGCCCGGACAGGAAAGTCTGTGAGACTCTTATCTCCAATTAACCACCAGAAAATCAAAAGTGGCGCTATGGCTCAAGTGGTAGAGCACTTGCCTTGAGCTGAAGAGCTCAAGAACAGCACCCAGGCCCAGAGTTCAAGCCCACGACTGACAAACTAAATAAGACAAGCATTCAGATAAAATGAAATGGAAATAGGTGATTTATTCTCATGCTCTAATTAAGAATCTAAGACAACTAAAGAATTACTATTTTTATAATCCATTTGGCAAAAAATGATTAGAATTATTTGTTACCAACTTTCTCAGTACTATTGTCAAAAGAAATTGGTCAAATTAGATTATGAGAAGAGGAAAAAAGGAAGGCATTAAATACAGTTTGAGCTATAAACTAAGGCAGACCATTCCATATAAATGTGGTTACCTGAATAAATGTGGTTACCTGAATAAAATCAATCACCTATAAAACTTCTTCCCAGCTTCTCTGCCATCCTTTTTTCATTCAAGATTAAAAATGTAAGTCTCCACTACTGACACTGTAATCAAGGATACTCCTAACTACTACCCTTCTTCTACTCTTGGCCTTGACTTCCTACAGAATTGCCCATTCACACTCTCAGCTAGGTACCATGATTCATCTTTCTTCACAATTCCTAATACCTCATCTGCCAAGACCTCTTCCTTCAGTTATATCCCTTCTTCCCTCATCCCTTCTACTAACAGTCACCCCCCCGCTTCCATCACCCCCTACACATTTCTCTCACAGAAATCCTGAATTAATAGGGACCTTGGGACTATACTGCCAGTACTGTGGCAATAGAGCAGGAAGAAGGTATTGCTAGTGTCCACAGTATTTCATAGCATTTGTCTCCCACAGAAGTAAACAGCAAGGTGACTGGAATAAAAAGCATATTATTCAACCGTTCATTACATTATATTGAGTTTGCTGTTAAGTGGCCAGTGGTGGAGGTGATTCACACCAGGAATCCCAACTGTAACTCAGAAGGAAGAGCCAGGAGTTTAAGGAGTTTAAGGGGCTGGGGGGCAGGGGGGGGGGGGGGGGGAGGGAATCTCAAATGGCAAAGTGCTGCCTTGCAAGCACAAGGCTCTGTGTTCTATCCCATACAATTCTACCCTTATATACTTTATTGTTTCTATCAGAAAATACATTCCATGGTCCTAAATAAAAAATTTCACTGAATCTATTCAATCAAGGACAGTTCATAAATGATGAGCTTTTCAAGAGACCTTACTAATTTAACTAGCTTTTAGGGTTAGCATATGTTAATTTGCTATTGAATCTGCAAATAGAACCAAATTATTTTAGTAAGGTTCTTATCAGTCATTTTCAGCATAGAGAGTTTCAATGATGCCTTAAAAGTACACTGAAGCAGTCATAATTTATTAAGTTACCTAAAAGTAACAACTATGATACAAGACACAACAGAACTAACCAATGGGTCTTTAGGTGAACCAGAATATCTCTTCTTCCCATAAGAGGAACTGTAAGAGGAATGATTCTAGAAGTAAATAGTTTAAGTTAATGATCACACAGTGCAATTTTTTAAAATAAAATTCATCTTAAAATTACACATACAGGATTGTTTGAGATAGTCTACATGCGATCCATTTCCCACTGTTTAGTAAGTAATTCATTGCACTTGCATAGCCAATTTATGTGAGCTCTCTACACATCATTCTCCCCTGCCTCCCCATGCCAGCTTAGTGTCTGGACAGCTTAAAAACAAAAAACAAAACAAAAAAACTCATTTGGACTTAGAACCAGATGATGTTTGTGTGGACCTTTGCCCTATATCCTACTAAAATCCCTTATCTCCTTTATGAAGTTTCAGATAAGTGAGTCTGTATCTCCTATAGTCTTCTTATCTACATGTCAAAAGCAAGATTGAGAAAATAAAGAACATGAACATAGAGCATTTTACTATCTAAGATGATACTCCTCAAGTTAGAGGTCCTACAGTATGTTCTGATGCGGAAGAAATCATAAGACATGGTATGGTCTGTCAAGTGTAGCAGTAGAATTACTGAATAATATCTTCTAGAAGGGTCTTTTAAAGATTGTCTAAATGCCTAAGTTCTAGGAGTAGAAAGTCATGAGTATAAAAAGACAAAAAGTAGTAATACTGCTAAACAGATTAACTGGTATGCAAGAGATCCAAAATGGGTATGTAATGCTCACCTGAAGAGAATATATACCTATAAAAGTAGCCTATCAATAGCCCAAGCAATAACAGACTCTCTGTTCTAGAAAAACCATCACACATGCATAGCTAAATCATGAAAATTAACATTTGCTGTTCCTTAAAATTTGTTTTTCTTTTTTTCCTTTTATATTTTTTAAGTATTGAAGTTTGAACTCAGGACTCTGCACTTACTAGGCAGGTACTTTACCACTGAGTTACACCTTCAACCCTCCTTTTTGCTTTAGTTTTTTTCAGATAAGGTCTCATATTTTTCCTCAGGGCTGGCCCTTCTATCACTCCTGATTACACACATGTGTGCACTACTACACCTAGTCCAATATGTGTTTCATTTCATAAATAACTGTAAACATTTTACAAACAGTGGCAATATACTAATATAATATTCACACACACAAAAAACACAGGCTACTGCTTAACTTTCTTCATAAATATAACATGACAAATCAAGCCAAAATGTTGAGACATCAATGATGTCTCAAGTGTCAGCTATCGCTGTACATGTCACCATACATATTTTGTCTAGCCACCTCACACCTGCTAGCTTGTAACATATAACATGAAACCACATGTGCTGCTGTAGCAGAAATATGGCTCTCAAAAAAGAAAAGAACTACGTGTTGGTGACTCATGACTCTAATCCTAGCTACCAAGGAAACTGAGATCTGAAGATTGAAGTTCGAAGCCAGCCCAGGCAGCAAAGTTCAAAAGACAACTCTCCAATTAAGCAGCAAAAGCCTAGAAGTGGAGTTGTAGCTCAAATGGTTGAGTACCAGCCTTGAGCAAAAAGAAGGTTAGGGACAGCACCCATACCCTGAGTTCAACCTCAATAGTAGCAAAAAAAAAAAAAAGGAGAGACAAGAGAGATAGGGAAAGAGAAGAGAAGAGAGGGAAGGGGCGGGCATATGTCAGCTGGGTGGCTCAGCACCACAGGAAAAGATATTACTACCAAACTTTGGGAACAGGTAAGCAAATAATTCATCTAACCCTGAAGTTCTAGCTCTTACATTAGACTTCTATCCATTTTAAAGTTTTGCTGGGGATTTTTGGGGATTTTCACTACTAGTGCTGGGGATCAAACCTGCAGCCACACACAGGTAAAGCATTCTACCACTAAGACACATCTTCAGCTCTGATTCTAAAATTCTATAGGGAAATTATCCAAATCATAAATTACGCCAAAATTGCAAAACAAGAATGAGAGGAAAAGAGGGTACAGCTGACACTGAGTAAAAGGAAAGAATTGTAGATATCACCACCCTATGTGGAAGAAATAACTGTATTGTCAAAGCTCACAGAATTCACAAACTTTATAGACCGCGATTAAAGACAATCTGCCCCATGAAGGTTAGAATGTGTTTGACTTTAAGTATCACTATCTCACAATACTGTCAAATTTATGTAATCACTTAATCACAAGAAAAAAATTACAAAACAATAGTTGTTGCCTTATTAGCCACACATTTACCTCCAAAAACTGTAACAAAACCCATGAATAAAGTTAGTCATAATCTGATTAGCAACAATAGGTAAAAGTCCATGCTTAAAGTCATGCACTACATACAAATGATGAAACTCTTGATCTATCCTTGAGATTATCATACTGGAATTCAGAAAAATGCAAAAGTTGATTTTATTTCCAAAGTCAGGATACAAATAAAAAGAACATTTGCAATTATTAAAAATATAGCACTACTTTAAATGCAAAAACCATTAATCACAAAAGCTATTAAATTTGAAATAAAAATGCTTCTTCCCACTCCTTCCTATTATTAATTATTACTAAACTGTATGTTTAAACTGCGTGTGAGGGGGCTGGGAAGGTGATTCAGTGCTTGCCTTGGGTTCGATTCCTCAGCACCACATAAGCAGAAAAAGCAGGAAGTAGAGCTGTGGCTCTAGTGGTAGAGCACTAGCCTTGAGCTGTAGAGCTGAGGGACAATGCCCAGGCCCAGAGTTCAGGCCCCATGGCCACCACCACCACCAACAACAAAAAAAACCTGCATGTGAGGGCTGGGGGCATGGCTCAAGTGGTAAAGCACCTGCATAGGTCCTGGGTTGCAGCCCCAATACTGAATAAGTAAATGAATGAAATGAATGAATGAGATGAATAAATAGAACTTTACACAGAGTGTCGGACATGGTGGTCTATACCTATAGTTCCTGCTACTCTGGAGGCTGAGAGAAAAATTTTCAAGTTTGAGACCAGCCTGAGCATCATAGCAAGAATCCTCTAAAAAAACACTGGTATGTCTCCAATCTTCCCCCTCCTTTTTTTTTTTCCAGTACTAATATGAACTGGAAGTACTGCCTAAGTAGTAAAACACTTGCCTACTAAATGTAGGATCCTGAGTTCAAATGTAGTATCAACAAAAAAACTTAAAAATTAAAAGATTACTGTAACATCTTAGTACACTGTAGCACAAAACACTCTAAATATTCTATAATCAAAGATGTCACTAGATGTTATTCTGCATCATCACTTTCCACAATTAAAAAAAAGAGAAAAGCAAGGAATACACAGCCAATGAGGCAAGAACAAATAACACAATAAAACTTTAAAGAGAATAATTGCAGAATCAAAATAGGGACACTTCCTTGGAAGAGGAAAAGGAATTGCAGGCTAGTAAAGGGGTGTGATGGGACAAAACTCAATCTATCTCAATGGCTAGGCATGGTAGAACAGCTACTAAAGAAGCATAAAGACTAGGCACAGTGATACACAGCTGTCATTCCCAGCAATACAGGGAAGCACAACTAGAAAGATCACAGTGGTATAGTCTCAGTCTTGAGCAAAAAAGCTCGGGACCAGCACCTATGCCCTGAGTTCAAGCCCCAATACTGGCAACGAAAAAGAAAGACATGGAAAAAAAAAAAAAAAAAAGTTAACTCTAACAAACTTGCCTAAAGGTATTCACAGGGAAACAAAACAGGAAAAAAAAAAGTAGTTGACTGAATGGCTCAAGTGGTTGAGCACCTAACTAACAAACATGAAGCTTTCTGTGAAAGCCCTAGAATATGAAGAAAAAAAAGTAAAGTACAACATGCAAGCTATAAAGTCTAGAAAGTGTCAGTTTTTAGTAGACTGTGCCTGTTAAACAATCATCAAGGACACTGAAAATCAACAATAAGTGCATAAAACTCAATACATTTTTCTTCACTACACACCATCACATCTCTCCTTTTGGGTATACTGGCTCTGCTCCAATGTGTCCCAGGAATATCCTTTGATGAGCTCTTCAGAAATTAAAACAGTATAGTAGATAACAAAATAAAAATTATAAGTATGTTTTAAAAATTACATGTCAAAATTATATTAATATAATTATATTAATACCATATAAATAGCAACTATATTGATGGATGGAGATAGATAGAAATACCACATAAGTAGCAACTAGATTGATGGATGGAAACAGACAAAATAGAGATAGATAGATAGATAGATAGATAGATAGATAGATAGATAGATAGATAGATAGATAGATAGATAGACAATCAGTTTTTAAAAATCTCTGCCAAAAAGAAACAGCTGGTGGCTCATGCCTATTATCCTAGCTACTCAGGAGGTTGAGATCTGAGGATCACAGTTCAAAGCCAACCCGGGCAGGAAGCTCCATGAGACCCTTATCTCCAATAAACTACTCAAAAAAAGCCAGAAGTGGCACTGTGCCTCAGGTGGTAGAGTACTTGCCTTGAGCAAACGAAGCTCAGGGATAGCGCCTCAGCCCAGGCAGGATTCAAGCCCCAGGACTGGCCAAAAAGAAAAATTGTCCTCACTGTGATTCAAAACCATTTCATTATTTTCTAATTTTAGTACTCTACCTTAATGTCTTCTCTTTCAGTATACAAACCAGTGACCAAGCATTTGTAAGATGTTTCTCAAAAAAAAAGCTATTTCTTTTGTTGTACATTTTTATTTGTATATATTTGCTGCACAACTGGGTTACATTATCATAGTTCCACACATGCATATAATATACTCTGATCAAATTCACCTCACTTATTCCCACTGAGCATCCCCGACCACCACCTTCTTATTTTCTTGGTGTAGTTACTTGGTGTATAGTTCCTGGTAAAATTACCCAAAAAATTCACACAACCAATATAAGTATTAAAACTTGATATTGATAAGACCCCATTCTGTTATTATTGCTGCACTTTCCTCGCAGAAAATCAATTTATTCTTTATACCAATTCATAAGTCTTTTGTTGTTGTTTTTAAAATACTAGGGCTGGGGCTTGAACTCAGGGCCTGAGTGCTGTCTCTTAGTTTTTTGTGTGGTTTTGTTTTTGTTTTTGTTTTAGCTTAAGGCTGGGCACTCTACCATTTGAGCTACAGCTCCACTTCCAGCTTTTTCGGGAGTAAGTCTCACAGACTTTTCTGGCTGGCTTCAAACTGTGCTCTTTAGATCTCAGTCTCCTGAATAGCTAGAATTACAGGCATGAGCCACGAGTGCACGGCTCATCATATTCTTTTGAGTTAAGAGGCTTTGTCAATAGAGCAGGGATCAATCTCACCTCTATAGTCACCTACAAATAGGCAGATAGTGACTTTGACATTTTTCTTATACTCCTCACTCTTTTCTTACCCAGCTGTAAAATCACTTGAGGTTAAGTATAGCATTTTATTCTTTAAGGAAATGTTTGTAGCCCAAATAGTGTCTGGCAAGTTACTTTCAACAAAGTAATATCTGAATGCTAACTAGACAAAAGGAAAATTCAACACACTAAAAATAAGTCATAAAACCATAAATGTATCTGATTAATAGCCAGATACCACTATTGCTCATATACCAAATAAATGTTCTGAATATTTAAGGACTTTTTTTTTAGTTAGTCATGGGGCTTGAACTGGGCCTGGGAGCTGTCCCTGAGCTTTTCTTTTTGCTCAAGGTTGATGCTCTACCACTTTGAGCTACAGATCCATTTCCAGTTTCCTGGTGGTTAATTGGAGTTAAGAGCCTTATGGACTTTCCTGCCAGGACTGGCTTCAAACTGTGATCCTCAGAGCTCAGCTTTCTGAATAGCTATGATTACAGGTGTAAGCCACTAACACCCAGCTTGTTTAATAACTTTTAATACATAGCTCATAAAAAAATTTTAATACAGGAAGTGAAAGTATGGCTCAAGTGGTAGAGTGCCAGCCTTGAGCAAAAACAGCCAACCAAGAGCACAAAAAAATTAAATTAAAAATAACTAGCAAATAATAGAACCTTATAATTACATGTTTAAATGTAAAAAATTTTAGAACAATATAATAGTCCATCATTTTTACTGAGGATAAAAGTTGACTTAAAATTCAGCTTAATGGAAATGATAATATTATTTCAAAAAGCAATTAATCAGGGGCTAAGGATATAATTCAGTGGTAGAGTATGTTTAGCCTATTCAAGTCCAACCCCTGGTACACAAACAAAGAGTCTGGTAAGTACTTAAAAATTAACAACAGTATTTCTTTGAAATAATGTTAACAGTAAGCTTTCAGCTTTACTTCTAGCAAAGCCTAAACATCTTTAGTATATTTAATACATAAACTCACAGGTAGTAAAATACTATCTTATAGGGTGTAAAACTTATTAATCTTCAAGTTCTCATACTCATCTTTTTCTTTTTGTAGTACAGGGATGGACCCTGGGCAAGGCACATACAAGACAAGTGTTCTATACTGGCTACATCTTAAGCCTTTGACATCCTAACAAGAGCGGGGTAAGAGGAAAAGGGGGAAAGGCGAAGGAGGGTAGAGGGAGGGGAGGAGAATAAGGGAGAGAGAGGGAAGGGTGAGGGAGGGAGAGAGAGAGATGGAGAGAGGAAGACAGGGAGGAAGAGGGAGAGAGGGAGAAGGGAAGAGGGGGAGAGGGAGAGGAAGAGCGGGAGGAGAAAGATGGGGAGAGAGACAGAAAGAGAAACACAATACTCAGGAGGCTAAGAGGCAAAGATGGGGGATTTAATTTATTGAGTTCTAAGAATATTTTAGATGAGGCCCTTGTCCATTGTATGGCTAGTGAAGATCCTCTCCCAATCCGTGGGGCTTTCTATTGATCTTGCTAGCTATGTCCTTTGCCATGCATAAGCTCTGCAGTTTCATGCAATCCAATTTGTCCAACCTTTCTTTGATTTGTTGTTTCTGGGTCTTTATTAAGAAAATTTCGAAAATTCTGGCCTGTGCCAAGGAGCCCTAGAATTTCTCCTAATCCTTATAATATTTTCAGGGTGTCTGCTTTGACTTCGAGGTCTTTGATCCATTTGGAGTTGATTCTGGTGTAGGGTGATACATAAGAATCTAGCTTTAGTTTTCTACAAGTGTTTAACCAATTTTGCCAGCACCATTTACTGAAGAGGCTGTCTTTCTTCCATTCTATTTTTTTGGCTCCCTTATCGAAGATTAGGTGGCTATAGGTCTGTGGATTTATTTCTGGGTCCTCAGGTCTGCTCTTGTACCAGTATCAAGCTGTTTTGATTACTATGGCTTTGTAGTAGAGTTTGAAGTTTGGTACTGATATTCCTCCAGCACTGTTCTTTCTGCTAAGGATTGTTTTTGCTATTTGGGGGTCTTTTATTGTTCCATATGAATTTTGAGGTTGCTTCTTCTATTTCATTGAAGAATGAGGTTGGGATATTGATAGGTATCACATTGAATTTGTAGATAGCCTTTGGCAATATTGCCATTTTCACGATGTTAATCCTCCTAATCCAAGAGCCTGGGAGGTTTTCCACTTCCTTAGTTCTGCTTTAATTTCCTTTTTCAGGATTTTAAAGTTTTCATCATAGAGGCCCTTCACTTCTTTAGCTAATCCTCAAAGAAACAACTGCCTGATTGATAAGTGGGCTAAAGACTTAAAGAGAAATTTCTTTGAAGAGGAAATAAGAATGGTCAATAGACACATGAAGAAATGCTCAACTTCTCTAGCCATAAAAGAAATGGAAATCAAAACAACATTGAGATTCCACCTCACCCCAGCAGTTAGAATGGCTATAATCAAGAAATCTAATAACAATAGATGTTGGCGGGGATGTGGCCAAAAGGGAACCCTACTGCATTGTTGGTGGGACTAAACTTGTTCAACCACTCTGGAATGCAGTATGGAGGTTCCTCAAAAGACTCCACACAGCCAGGCATCAGCGACTCACACCTGTAATTAATCCTACATACTCAGGTGGCTGAGATCTGAGGATTACAGTTCAAAGCCAGCCCTGGGAGGAAAGTCAGTGAGAATCTTACCTCCAATAAACCACCAGAAAACCAGAAGTGGCGCTGTGGCTCAAGTGGTAGAGCGCTTGCCTTGTGCTGAAGAGCTGAGGGATAGTGCCCAAGTCCAGAGTTCAAGCCCCACGACCGACAGACCAAAAAAAAAAAAAGAATGGAAGTGGAGTCATGGCTCAAAGTGGTAGAGTACTAACCTTGAGCAAAAAGCTCAGGGACGATGCTCCAGCCCTGAGTTCAAGTCCCATGGTCGGAAAAAAAAAATATTGTTTTAAAGTTTACTGAATGATTTTTTTAAGAAATGAGAAATCACCAAGTGTGATGGCTCACTTCTGTAATCCTAGCTACTCGAGGCTGAGTTCTAAGAATCATGGTTTTGAAGCCAGCCTAAGCAGTAAAGTCTGTGAGATTCTTATCTCCAATTAAGGGCCAAAAAGCTAGAAGTGGAGTAGTGGGTTAAGTGGTAGAGTACTAATTTTGAGCAAAAAGGCTCAGGGAGAATGCTCAACCCCTAAGTTCAAACCCCAGGACTGGCACCAAAAAGAGAAAAAGAGAAAGAGAGAAAAAGAGTGTGAGAGAGAAAGAGACAGAGAGAAATCACAATATGTAAGCCTTTAAAAAGCAAATTCTCTTTTATCATTAAATAACAAGCTATGCTAAAAACTAGAATATTCAATAAAATGTTACTCAAAACATCAAGGCATAATTCCAATGCATATAACAAGCAATGAATTTTTCAAATCAATAATTCAATCTTTCCATGTAATAAAATTGTAATTCATCCAGAAAGCCCCAAAATTACTTATTAAGTTTTTAAAGATATTAATATAGTGTAAATCTAAATTAGAACCAAGCAGCTGTTATTCTATAAAATCAATCTTATTATTTTGTGATTGTTCTGAAATCAAAGGTCCTTCAATAAAAAAAGAGAATGAACATAATAAATGAAAATATTCAAGATTTTAATAATTAGAGAAAAATCATCACTTCCCAAATAAATATCTTTGGGACTATTTTCTACATTTTTCATAAAGCCAAAAAATAAGCACTGTCCAATTGTTCAGGTACTGTTGATTCTGAAGAAAGCTCACACATATAAGCTTTGCTATTGAAGTTTTTAAACAAATACCAACCCAGTGGCTGCCAAGACTTCGAATCGACAATGTATCCTGAACTCCCTGATAAAAATAAAAATAAAACAATAGTAAAAGTTTGTGAGTGGTTTCACTAAGTCAATGAGGAAAAATAGTAGGGGCAAGTTTATACGTTATTACAAACCAGATAAGGACGATGATGACTAGACCGGTGGGAATACCTGGCCCTTTCCGATTCTTCCTGAGAAAGGAGAAAATTCACGCAAAGTTAATCAATGAACAGACAGCTACTCCTCTGAACAAGGAAACAAGAACACTCAGCAGCATGGCAATATACATTTTTTAGAACAAGTATGTACAGACAGCTTCAAAAAGCACTTGCATGCTTTGGTTAGAAAGAAAGTAGAAATAATCTTCACGTTTTGTTTTTTGGCAGTTGTGGGGCCTAAACTCTGGGTCTGGACACTACCCCTCAGCTCTTCAGCTCAAGACTAGTGCTCTACCACATGAGCCACAGCACCACTTCCGGCTTTTTCTGCTTATGTGGAGCTGAGGAATCGAACCCAGGGCCTCATGCATCCAAGGCAAGCACTCTACCACTGAGCCACCTTCCCAGACCCTCACAATGTTTTTATTTTATCAGTTGTATGTATGGCTGAGCAATGATTGTATTTTATATATATATATATATATCTCCATCCAAGAAGGTACAATATACCAAGATAAAAATAAACCACTAAAAAAATAAAAATAAAAATAAACCACTATGCTTAACAGATATTGAGCTCCACATTAAATGTAGATGCTTGGTACATTTGTAGACTGCCTGCCTAGCAAACACAAGGCCAAGTTCAAACCCCAATACAGACAAAATAAAAGGTAAATGCTTATTTTGTAAAAAAAAAAAAAAAAAAAAAAAACCATTTTCAGCTTTTTATTGATTATCTATCATTATAGCTGAACACTAGATATAACATTAGCAAAGAAATTTCTACTTGCCGAGCTGTTTTCAATTAAAATAACTTGTCTTTTTGCCTGCCTCTTCCTTCATGTGATGTTTCTCTCCCAACACCACAGACTGATACTTAGATAAGATTGTTTTACCAATTATATATATTAGATCTTAGTCTGAAATAAAGCTCCAGACATACACAGATACTCTTTATTATCACACTACCAGGAATCTTAAGAGAAACCAGTACTCTAACTAAAGGCTTCTAGTCCAAGTGCTAATAATACATTATAGAAAAGTCATGTTTAGCTGCTACAGGTGTTGTGCTTATCTGAGCTGTCAAAGTCTTCAATTTTGTTCTCACAAGCCATTAGAGATCCCATGGCAACAACCAGCCACAGTCCTTAGCAACATGCTATCTATGATGCATATGTCTTCCTTTCTCTGTGAATGTTAATTTATGCAAGGCAGGAAATGTAATAGATGTATTTAAGGAAATTATATATTGCTACAAAAAAAGTTAAAATTTTGTGCTCATTAAAAAAAAACTTTTTTTGTCCCACCGTTCTAGGAAGTTAATAGAACTACTAAGGAATGAGACTTAACTGTTGTTAATATAACAAAACTACTAAGAAGAAATACATATTTTGAGTTGGGCGCCTGTGGCTCACACTTGTAATCCTAGCTACTCAAGAGGCTGAGATCTGAGGATCGCAGTTCAAAACCAGCCTGGGCAGGAAAGTGTGAAACTCTTATCTTCAATAAACTACTCAGAAAAAGCTCCAACTGGCGCTGGTAGAGTGCTAGCCTTAAGCAAAAGAAGCTCAGGGACAGCACCCCGATCCTGAGTTCAAGCCAAAAAAAAGAAAGAAAAAGAACATAATTTTTATATATATATGTATATATATATATATATATACATATATATATGTAAAAAGTTATGTAAGTTTGTTTAAAAAACAAAGACTGAGCCGAGTGCTAGTGGCTCACACCTAAAATCCTAGTTACTCAGGAGGCTAGATCTGAGGATCACAGTTCAAAGCCAGCCCCAGCAGGAAAGTCCATGAAACTCTTGTCTCCAATAAACCACCAGAAAACCAAAAGTGGCACTGTGGCTCAAGTGGTAGAGTGCTCACCTTGAGCTGAAGAGCTCAGGGACAGTGCCCAGGCCCAGGCCCAGGCCCAGAGTTCAAGCCCCACGACTGACAAAAAAAAAAAAAGACTGAGGGCTTAACTAGTAAGTACAAAACCCTGAATTCAAGCCCCAATACCACTAAAAAAAAAATCTTGTGTTTAAAAAAAAAAATCCTAGGGCTGGGAAGGTGGCTCAGTGGTACAGCGCTTGCCTTGCATGCCTGAGGCCCTGGGTTCGATTCCTCAGCATCACATAAGCAAAAAGGAAAAAGCCGGAAGTGGTGCTGTGGCTCAAGTGGTAGAGTGCTAGCCTTGAGCTGCAGAGCTGAGGGACAGCGTCCAGGCCCAGAGTTCAGGCCCCACGACCGGACCCAAAAAAAAAAAAAAATTCTAAATTAAAATACTTTATTAAATGCTGATATACCTTAAACAGCTTTTAAATTCAATGTGAGTATTTGGCCTAAGAAGACTTCAGTAGACTACGGCAGTAAAATGTAAATTCCATGTGAGTCACCTAGCTGAAACAAGTCATAAATAAGCTGTCCAATAGCACTTTCTGTGACAACAGAAATATCCCTTATATGCGCTCTCTCTAATATGGTGCTCCACTAACCACATACGGCTATTGAGCACTTGCAATGCTGGAGGTGCAACTGAGAAACTAAATTATATTTAATTTTAGTCAATTTTCATTTAATTATCTACACATGTTAATGTCTACCATTCTGAACAGAAATTTGAAAAATATATGTTCATGCAAAATAGTAAATCAAGCTCAAAACAAATTTTTATTATGTTAGAAACACTCAAAAAAATACTTTATTAAAGGTCTCCAGTCCTAGCTGGGTTCATGCTGAAGCTGCTATCTGCCTATTTCAGGCTCCCATCATTTCTAGGATAACGGATGTGCACTACTATACCTTTTGTTGAAAAGGGGGTCTCATTTCTATCCAGGCTGGCCTCAAATTAAAATCCTCCCAATCTAATCCTTCTATGTGGCTAATAAGAGGAGTAACTGAACCACCACTAGGTTTCAAGTAATTTCTCTTACTCACAGAAAATACTCTTAATGTATCATCAATAATATAATCCAGTTACATAAAACAAATTTTACTCCAAAGCAACATTTACATGAAGAATCACTTAATTTTAAGTTACCAAGCATCTTTTTCTCTTTCCTAAAATGTTATCATTATGACAACTATGACAAAATCTCAAATTTTAAGCATTACCACTGTCATAAATATCTCTTTTTTTTTTTTTGGGTCCAATCGTAGGGCCTGAACTCTGGGCCTGGGCGCTGTCCCTCAGCTCTTCAGCTAAAGGCTAGCGCTCTACCTCTTGAGCCACAGAGCCACTTCCGGCTTTTTTCTTATGTGGTGCTGAGGAATTGAACCCAGGGCCTCAGGCATGCAAGGCAAGCGCTCTACCACTGAGCCACCTTCCCAGCCCCAGTCATAAATATCTTAACCCTGGTTATTCCCTTCCTAGAGTAGCCCATGAGCTGCTTGTTCAACAGCAATTAAGACAAATGGTTCTTAACCTTTTGGGAATCTGGTAATAAAAATACTAGTGGAGATTTCCCCTAAAAAATAGATAATTTCAAATGTTTGCACAGATTTTAAGGTTTCATACTCTACTTCCTACATCTAGTCACATACTAAGTTCAAAATCCTGCAATTAGGAAGTTAAAGAACTTATCAACTTTGAAAAAGAAAGTCAAATTTAAGATTTATCCACAATAACATTCTATTAGTTTACAATTTGCTTTTGTAGCTAAAAATTAGGTTGTGCTAGTAAAGGACTTATGAAGGAGTTGATAGAGTTGAAATAGTAAGAGAAATGGATAACTTAGATCATCTCTGTGGTCTCTGTTCCTTGGAGGTCTCTCTCTCTCTCCTCTCCCTCTCCCTTCCCTCTCTCTTTTTTTTCTTAATGGAAAGAAAGGCTAGGTACCCTGTGGCTCACAACTGTAATTCTGAAAAACAGAAGAATTCAAGTTTGAAGCCTGATGGGGCAGAAAAGATCCTAAGGCCTTCTCAACCCATAGCCAGCCACAGGGAAATGAACCTGTTACCCGTGCTTCATGAGAGGCTGAGAACTGGAGGACTGTGATTCTAGGCCAGCCTACACAGAAAAGTCCTCAAGATGTTAATTCAATAAAATAGACCAGGAAAGGTAAAATGTGCCTGTAATTCCCTCTACAAGAGGGCATGGCGAAACATGCCTGTCATCCTAGCTATGAGTCCAAAAATAGGCAGACATACACTCAGGCAGGAGTGAGACCTATCTCAAAAATAAGCAGCACAAAAAGGGCTCTTCTGACTCAGCAGTAGAGCATCTTGCCAAAAAACAAAAGGCTGAGTTCAAACATGAGTACTATCAAAAAAATACAAAGGAGGAAGGATGAAGGGGAAGGTAGGAATTGAAGAACAAAAGAATAAATCTATAAAAAGAAAACAACATATTTATTTACTCAATCTCTATCAGCAAGGGCTTCTGATCCCAACAGATGGGATGGATCCAAATTTGGAGTCCAAATGGATGGACTCCAAGTACACATTTGTACAATACAAGATAGATACACTCTGAACTTTAAGTTCACACAAGCCAAACACTCCTAGTTCACAAACTGTTAGTCAATATTTACTTCAAAATTGCATTATTTCAGCAACTTATCACAACATGCAAGATAGGCATTCCTGGCCTACCAGCCACTTCTGAATCTGCCCCCATTTCCGGTCAAAGGAAGGATGAGAGGTCTATAAATGCAAAGGTTTCAGAAAATGGTTTTCAACCTATTATACATTATAAAAAATTCTTAAATTTAGTAATACACATTTGCTCTAGAGAACAAGGGTAGGTCACTCAAAGCCACACTTCTAAAATGTAGGGAAAGACTGGGCTAAATATGTTCAATAATAAAAAGATACATTATTCTCTGAAATTTAGAAGACCACAAATAGAACCATCTCATTTACTTTTTATGAGTTAAAGACAATGGATGGCAACATTTACATTATAAGCCAAGAACTAAATTAAATATTTGAAACTATATTTAAGGTAAGTACTTTAATGAGAAGTTTCAGGCCAAGTTAATGTTGGAAAGAAGGGGTAAAAGAGAGTATTTCATTTTTATCAGTCCAATTTCCATATGTCTACTACTTAACGCTTTTGCTGCTTTCTGATAATAAAATATAATAAAAATCAATAAACCACAGAAAAGCATGAGGAAATTAAAACCAACAAAAGTATTAGTAGTAATCACTTCTTTCTAGTAGTTTTTGATCCTTTTTTAAATTTGTAAACATAAAATAGGATTTTGTCTTCCATTTTCTTACATAAATATTTTTCTACATTACTAAATATGCTTCAAAATTATAATAAGTTTCAGCTAAACTGCAGTTCATTGTGATGTTCCTGCCTTGATTTGAACATATCCTATCAAGATTTCCCATTCAAAAATCCAGTTCTGCTTCACTCAAGCCAGAAGAGTCACAATATATATTGCCACACAGGAATGAAGGATTTACAGTGGGGAATGTAATATTGCAAGTGGAATTCATGTTCATATCATAAACATGACAGTATACAAAGTATTCACAACAACACTTACCAAATTGTTAACCTGGGCACCAGTGGCTCACACCTGTAATCCTAGCTACTGAGGAGGCTGAACCTGACGATTGGGGTTCAAAGCCAGCCTGGGCAGGAAAGTATGTGAGAATCTTATCTCCAAATAATCTTAATCTCCAAGTAATCTCAATCTCTCTCTCTCTCTCTCTCTCTCTCTCACACACACACACACACACACACACACACACACACACGCACGCACGCACGCACGCACACATGTGTATCAGAAGTGGGCTGTGGTTCCAGTGGTAGAGCACTAGCCTCAAGCTGAAAACACTCAGGGAGAGTGCCCAGGCCCTGAATTCCAGCCCAGACCAGCAAACAAAACAAAACAAAATAAAAAAAAAACCTCAAGTTGATCATTTTGAAGGAGGACAGCTGGAACTCAAGATTACAAGTTGAGGACTTTAGTTTTTGTGCCCTTGTTCAATCTTTCTATATTATTTAATATTTCATTCTTTTCATATAACATTTTTTAATTCCTTCCTCTCCTGTCTTCATAAAAACTAGAATATTTAAAAAGAAAAAGCAGCCAGGTGCTGGTGGCTCACACCTTTAATCCTAACTACTCAGGAGGCTGAGATCTGAGGATTGCAGTTCAAAGCCAGTCCAGGCAGGAAAGTCCATGAGACTCTTACCTCCAACAAACCACCAGAAAACCAGAAGTGGTGCTGTGGCTCAAGTGGTAGTGCTAGCCTTGAGCTGAAGAGCTGAGGAACAGCATCCAGGCCCAGAATTCAAGCCCCATAACCAACAAGAAAGAAAGAGAGAAACAGAGAAAGAGAGAAAGAGAGAGAAAGAAAAAAGAGACGGAAGGAAGGGAGGGAGGGCGAGTGAGTAAGCACATACTGGATCCCATATAGATCCAATGACTTTCAGAGTAGAAATAGATGGTGCTCTGAAAAAAAGACTCAGTTCATTCTGGGGATTTCCTTCCCATTCCCACTGTCTGTCAGTCTATCTCCCTGATGCAAACATACATACGCATACATACAAATTCAATAAGCTGTATTCAATATAAATTTAAATAGAATACATATCATATTATATAAATATCTACTTATGTAGTTTATATTCCATGTGTATATTATATGTAATTTTATAGTATACATTTTTTAATTTTTATTTTTATTTTTATTTCTTGTGCCAGTCATGAGGCCTGAACTCGGGCCCTGGGCACTGTCCTTGAGCTTTTTTTTCTTTTTCTTTTTTGTCAGTTGTGGGGTTTGAACTCAGGGCCTCAGCTCTGCCCCTGAACTCTTTTTGCTCAAGGTTCTACCACTTTGAGCTACAGCACCACTTCCAGTTTTTAAGTAGTTAATTGGACATAAGAGTCTCACAGTGACTTTTCTGCCTAGTCTGGCTTCCACCCACAATCCTTAGATCTGTTTCTTGAGTAGCTAGGATAACATGCATGAGCCACCAAAGCCTTATAGTATATATCTTATAGTATATATAGATAGATATATAGATATAGATATAGATGTGTATATATATATCTATATATATATATGTATATATATAGTATATATCTTTACAATATTTTGCCATATCAGTAGTATAATCCAAATCTAGGAAATTTAGGGTTATGCTAAGTAGTTATATTAGCTAAAACTACTTTAGCTAATATAAGTAAAGCATTTATAACAATGTAACAATTTATAACAAAATATATAGGAAGAGTTTTATATATGTGTTCACTGTTATTTAAAATAAGCATTACGCGCCAGGCACTGGTGGGTCACACCTATAATCCTAGCTACTCAGGAGGCTGAGATCTGAGGATCACCGTTAAAAGCCAGTCCAGGCAGGAAAGTCTTGAGACTCTTATCTCTAATTAACCCTCAGAAAACCAGAAGTAGCACTGTGGCTCAAAGTGGTAGAATGCTAGCCTTGAGCAAAAAGAGCTCAGGGACAGTGCCCAGACCCTGAGTTCAAGCTCTAAACCCTACTCAGAAAAAAACAAAAAATAAAAACAAGCATTACATTTATTTTGCTTTCCTACAGTGGTTTGTTAAAAGCCACCTATGAAGGTGTTTCAAAAGAACCAGATTCACCTTGTAGACAGTATGGTTAGAGGGAGACATATATGGGATCACAGTTATTCCTCCACATTACCTCTTTTTGTTGTCGTTCCAGTTCTCTCATACGTATATCTCTTGCTTCTGCTCGGGCAGCCCGTTTTGCTGCTAGCCTTGCCTCCGCCTGAAAGTAATATAAAACTCAGCTTTACAAAACAAAACAATCTATATACTAGATTTAAGGATAAGAAAACAAAACATAACTTCCAAAGGGGGATAAAGAGAAAAGATATCATATATTACTAAGTTTGACTGACTTTGTCAGTCAACTTCTACAACAAAATCTCAAATCTAGCCATTATCTCTAACTGCTTGCCTTAATTATACATTTTACAGATTTACTTAGCTCATTACACACTGTTCTTTCTCCGGCATTTCTTTGCCAATCTATTCAAATATATAAGTTAGGGGCTGGGAAGGTGGCTCAGTGGTAGAGCGCTTGCCTTGCATGCATGAGGCCCTGGGTTCGATTCCTCAGCACTATATAAGCAAAAAAGAAAAAAACAGAAGTGGTGCTGTAGAGTGCTAGCCTTGAGCTGAAGAGCTGAGGAACAGCATCCAGGCCCAGAGTACAGGCCCCACGACTGGACCAAAAAAATAAACAATCAAATATATGTTAGAACCAGCTCAGGGACAGTGCCCAGTCCCTGAGTTCAAGCCCCAAGACTGGCAAAAAAAAAAAAAAAAAAAGAAAATCCTTCTGCCATCTCACAACTTTCATGCTTTAGTGTGTACTAAAAAACAACAAATGAATTTCAGGCCATGAGCAGAGTATCAAATAAATAAAATGAGGAAATAACATGATGCATCACATAAAACGTAAAAATCTTCTAACTCTAATTCAGATTACCCTCTGATAACAACAATATTGCTTTTTTTCCACATTGTTACATTTATGCCTAAATCTTATAACAAAAGAATCAGGCAATGTTTACAAGAGTCTATATGTAATCAATTACTTAGGAGCTAAAAATACAGAGTAAGGTATTATATCTCTGCTCCAAAGCAGCTCACATGATAGAAAAAACACATTTTCTACATTTATCTCTTTTCTCTTTTCTGAATTTCTAAAACCACTAAACACTCATTCCTTCTAGATTTTCATCTCTTAATATTCTGCAATAGCTAGAATTATAGGCATGAGCCACCAGTGCCTAGATTAGATTATGTTTTAACTTCAAGAAATTTGAAATCAAAATTTTTTTAACTGAATCACTAATAAGTGGAGGTGTGGCTCAAGTGGTAGAATGTCAGCCTTGAGCAAATAAGCCAAGTGAGAATATGAGGCCCCGAGTTCAAGCCCCAGCTCCCCCCACCCCGAAACACTCAAGAAAAACACTAATTCGAGTAGCTAGGACTCCGAATTTACTATGTTTAATTTTGTTCATCTTTCTATAACTCTCAGGCCAAGAGAAAGACTAACATAATATTTATTTTGTTACCATGATTTCCAAATTAACAAAAATTATTGCTTCATTTCCTAACAACTTCCTTTAATAAAAAAAAAATCTCAGATACCATTTTTCTTTTATTAAATCTTGTAACTTACTGTTTACTTCTTGTTTAAAGCTTTCAGTACTTGAAAACAAATATTTAAATTTTTCTGAACATAAATGCCAACATGTTAGTAGATAAAATGTAGAAATTTTGACTAGTCATTTCATGATGCCAGACAATTAGATCTTCCTTCTATTCAAAGACTTTTTGACAGCAAAAAATAGTCTTTTGGGATGAGAAAGGAAATGTAAAGTTAAAAACTGAGGTCTGAACACAAGCAAATAATATCAAACCAAAGGGAAAAATGTAAGTCATAGTTTTAGTAAAATAAATATAATAATGATGTCTTTTTTGGTAGCAAAAGCACTCTGTCAGCAATGACATCACATTTATGTTAAAGATAGTCTGCTATCCGAATGCCTTTCCAAACAGTCATAGTTATAGCAATAATCATAACAGCAAAAGCTTTAGTCAAACAGACAAAACCAAGTCTTGGAACACAATATTCCTTCCTTCATTCCAGATAGAAAAAAAAAAAATCAAGAAACAGTGAAATAACAGGAGTTACTTTGGCTACCTCAAACTAGTGACCAGAGCCAGGCTGTTCAGGGTTCCAGAGGACAGGAGATGGAGTTGTGTCTCAGCCACATCTCCCACTTGCTCTACCTTAGATTGAGTGGGCAAAAGGAAAAGTCATGGAAAAGTCCTGTACTCAACAGGAGTTGGCTAAGGTCCTAAACTAATAACATTTGAAGAAAATATAAGTGACTAAAACTAGAACAAATATAGATTTTCTTTCAGAGGATTTGGCTAATAACTACCATGAGGAAAAAAATTTAACTAGATAGAAATGGAAAAATTCTTTTTCTTTTTTGTCTTTAAAAGAGTTGACCAACTCCTAGAAACAAACCTAGTGGCTATCATAATCCCCATCTCTTTAACCATTTTAGGTATCACCATATTCCTGGCTTCATTTATCAAAACTCATACTGAACAATAAGTTCTGGAGGGCTGGGAATGTGGCTTAGTGGTAGAATGCTTGCCTAGCATGCAAGAAACCCTGGGTTAGATTCCTCAGTACCACATATATAGAAAAAAGCCAGAAGTAGCACTGTGGCTCAAGTGGTAAGATTGTGCTAACCTTGAGCACAGAGAGGCTCAGGAATAGAGCCCTGGCCCTATGTTCAAGCCCCAGGATTGGCAAAAAAAAAAAAAAAGTCAGATAGTAAATATTGAAATATCAAAATGTTGAAACAGGATACAGGTTGACCCACTAACAATGAGAAGTACAAGTCACTATGTTGAAAACGAACTTTACAACTTCAGGGGCAGGGGAGGGAGGAGTTGGGGAGGTGGGGAGGGAAGGGATAGTAGGTGGAGAAACAAAGGAGGGGGTAACAATGCTCGATAGGAAATGTACTCATTAATGTACTCATGTAACTCCTCTGTATAGTATCTTTACAATTTTATATATATATATATATATATATATATATATATATATATATATATATATACACACACACACACACACATACATATTTCACGCCTGTAATCCTAGCTACTCAGGAGGTTGAGATCTGAGGATCGTGGTTCAAAGCCAGCCCGGGCAGGAAAGTCTATGAGACTCTTATCTCCAATAAACCACTAGAATACAGGAAGTACTGCTGTGGCTCAAGCAGTAGAGCACTCGCCTTGAGCTGAAGAGCGCAGGGACAGCACCCAAGCCCTGAGTTCAAGCCCCATGACAGACAAATAAATAAATAAACAAATTATATATATATATATATATATATATATATATATATATATATATATAAAATAAGTTCTGGATTGCAAAAGAGGATTTTTTTATTGCACTGATCTATAAGACCTTGTCAACAAGTTAAGCAGAAATACACACAAGTGCTACATACATTTTTTTCATAACTGAAAACAATGACCCCTGTCTCCTGTTAATGAAGTTTAAAGTACCAGCAGGGAGAGCACTTTTAAATTTTAAATAAGGGTAATTCTGTCTCTTGTGGAACTAACTTTTATAGACAAATCCAATGTCCACAGAACAAGCTGAACTAAATATGTAAAATATTCAAAAAATGTTAGAAGTACAAAATATTCTAGATTTGACACTGAAATCCTGGAGCTCTTTAGGACTCCTCCAAGAAATGGTTTCCTCTAACTCTACCATTTTCCTCTCTAGTTGATTACATCCATACTTACCAAAATGAGCTGCATTATTTTTACATGTTAACAAGTTTCAAATGCTTACCGACAGCCTAAACGTCTCCTTTGAGCTCGCAAACCCCATTTTCAAAATCTTCATTTAGATATCTCATAGGCACCATACATAGATATATGCCAACATACATTGATAGTATTCCCTCCTCCATTCTAATGTTCCCTCTTATTCATTTAGATGTATAAGCCATCCCTCCTTTGCTATCAACCCTCCACTATCAACTTCTTACCTCTCTAATCTAATCACCATTATTGCCAGCACCCTACACAAGCCTCAATCATCTATGATCCATGACTCACTTCCTTGCAACTACTAATGCAATATACTCATACAACCTATATTAAGTTCCTTCTAAACTACAAATCAGACCATGTCACGCCTACATAAAACCTTAACGTTTCCTCATTGCTTTTAGTACACAGGTCAAAACCCTAAATAGGGTCTACATAAAGATTAAATTCATTTGAAGTGGATACATAGTAAGAACTATATAAAATACTAGCTATTGTGGTCCTTTAGCTTTCCGTACTTCTTCAGCCTCAAAAGCTTATCAAAAATTTGTATTCTCTAGCTGGAAAGCTCTTCTCAAAAAGTTTTATCCTCTGGCTGGAAAGCTCTTCCCTATATTAATAAACTCCATTTCCTTAAGTAGTTCATTCATCTTTCAAGAGCACATCAAAGGGTACTCAAAGATGCCTTTCCAAACCCCTCAAATATATCAAGTTCCTGTGGCATACTCTTTAATAAAACTTTGTACTTGTCTCCCAAAATACTTAACAGTTATAAATAAGCATATCTGTATTTCCTCGATTCTAAGAATGTTAGTGACTGTGACATTTTCAAAACAAAAAGAAATTACTTTATTAAATGTATTCAAAATTTGAGGAACTTGTCCATTGTGTAATTATTTGTTTGGTGGCTATTTCCCCTTCGAAATCTAAGTTCCACAAAGACAATGACTATGCTAATCTTGTTCACTCTGTATCCTTCATATGTAGCAAAGCACTGCACAAAACAGTAGTTGTTGAGCTAATGAAATTTAAATTTTTTTATAAAAACTATATTCTAAAATGAAAGATGGTATTAGTATTCATAATTATTGCTGTTTATTCTTTGTATTTTTAAAAACTCTTACCCTTGTCAAATTTTTATTCTTAATTTATCACAACCTAAAAAATGAACTACTCAGACTAGTGAAATTACTATGGGAATACCATTAGCCCCGACAAACTTATGATTATTGCTTCATAAAGCTGTAAGGGGAAACATCTTTTAAAATAAGTACAATTCTCTCCTCAGCCTGTTAAAATTTTGATTGTCTTAGATGACTAGAATGGCTATTATTTTCTGAGAAAACAAACTGAAATCCACCAATATATTAGTTCATA